AATGTCTTTGCCCCGAAGGGGGTTTCCTTCAGAGGCTATCGAGTGTGATTATCCTCTCCATCTGCCAAAGAGAAAACCTCGAGAGTAACGCATTTGATTCCGAACAGCCTCAGTCTTTGAATTAAAAGAAACTTGGAACAGAAACACCAGATACCCCTCTTGTCATTCTTGTGCAGTGTCTGGAAAAACCAAAGCAAAAAAACAAAAACGAACCCTTGGAAAATTATAACCATTGAAATAATTAATAATAAATAATAACGACGATAATAATAATAATAATAATAACAATAATAATGATAATAACAATAAGAGAGTGATGATAGTCCTTTGCATTTTAACATAGCGCCCCGTCACGTCGTTGAGACGTTTTAAAGCGCTTCGAGGAATACGTGGGGTCTTTCGTGGGCGAAATTTCGATGAAGACCTTTAAAACATTCAGCCGATTCGATGCAAAGGGTATAAAATAGTGTTGGGTGACTGTGCAGTGGGATATAATTGTGTTTCACCGCACCATTAGAGCCGAGAGAGTGGGTCAATAACTGCTCGTCCGCTGTGACGGGAGTCTCAGCAAATGTAAGAGAACAGTCGCGTGGATTCTGTTTTTGTCCTTTCGGCTATAATTCTGTTTCCTGATGGTTCAGAGGCTCGTTACCATCAGCTCATCTCCTGCCACTGACCCGAGGCGCTCTGTGTGAGTGGGTGTCTGTGTGAGTGAGTGTCTGTGTGTGTGAGTGTCTGTGTGTGTGAGTGTCTGTGTGAGTGAGTGTCTGTGTCTGTGTGAGTGTCTGTATGTGAGTGAGTGTCTGTGTGTGTGAGTGTCTGTGTGTGAGTGAGTGTCTGTGTGTGTGAGTGTCTGTGTGTGTGAGTGTCTGTGTGAGTGAGTGTCTGTGTCTGTGTGAGTGTCTGTGTGTGAGTGAGTGTCTGTGTGTGTGAGTGTCTGTGTGTGAGTGAGTGTCTGTGTGTGTGAGTGTCTGTGTGTGTGAGTGTCTGTGTCTGTGTGAGTGAGTGTATGGTGTGTGTGTGAGTGTCTGTGTGTGTGTGAGTGTGTGTGTGTCAGTGTCTGTGTGTGTGTGTGAGTGTCTGTGTGTGTGTGAGTGTGTGAGTGTCTGTGTGAGTGTGTGAGTGTCTGTGTGTGTGAGAGTGTGTGTGTGTGAGTGTGTGTGTGTGAGTGTCTGTGTGTGTGTGTGTCTGTGTGTGTGAGTGTGTCTGTGTGTGTGAGAGAGTGTGTGTGTGAGTGTGTGTGTGTGAGTGTCTGTGTGTGTGTGAGTGTCTGTGTGAGAGTGTGTCTGTGTGTGTGAGAGAGTGTCTGTGTGTGTGAGAGAGTGTGTGTGTGTGTGAGAGTGTGAGTCTCTGTGTGTGTGTGAGTGTCTGTGTGTGTGAGAGTGTCTGTGTGTGTGAGAGAGAGTGTGTGTGTGTGTCAGTACTTCTTCACATACGCCTTTTTCTTGTTACCGATTTCTGACGTAGAAATCCACAAAAGAACCCAAAAAAAAGCTTTGTCGAGATTTTTCCTCTCGTCTGCCACCAGCCCTTCCCAAGCTTGTCTTATAGATGTGGACAATTACCACGGGATCCTTCAACAGTGGGGCAGCAAAACTTGTCCAATGTCTGGAAAATCAAAACAAATATATAATATATATATATATATATTATATATAGATATATCTCCTGCCACTCTGATCTGAAATCTGTATTGGTTCGTGTGAATGAATCCATGTGAGGTTGGGAGATATGGAATTCATTCTCAGCTTATGTTGGAGACCCTGTAAACATGGTGATGGGTTTCAGACAGTGATCCCCCCCCCCCCCTCACCCACCTCCCACCCCCTCCCCAAAAATAGCACTGTGAAGGGTACATCGTCGGCGCATCGTATAGGAATCGAACTTTGAAACAATTATTTGGTTCATTTTTCTGTCATTTCTGCTGATTTAATTAAACGTGGGTTACGAGGGGAGAGGAGGGAGTTGGGGTGTGGGGGGGGGGGGGGGGTGTGGGGGGTGTGGGGGGAGACAGAAAAAATACATATCGTTTCGAAAATTAACTTCAAACTTTTACAATTAAAAATTATTTTCTCTACCCCCTAACTTACAACAAGTGGCAATTTGTTCATATATATATATTATATATTATATATATAATATATACACATCAAAATAAACCCAATAAATCTATACGTATATATTCCGTTTTCTGATATAATTTCACTGCAGCAGTTTTTCTTTTTTTTAATAATGATAAATAATTATTTTTAAAAAAATCTCTGGAAAGTGAGCCATAATTTATCGCCATCCTCTCTTGTTGCGCCGACTACTTGTGTGTTTGACTTCATAAATGTAATGCTGTCAAACTCCCCCCAAAACCCTCCCAATTGCTATTTCGTTCAGTTCAGCCTTAAGATTTAATAACAACCCCCACCCCAAAAAAAAGGGGGCTTTACTTATTGCATTTTAAAAAAAACACTTGGATGGAATCATGTTGCACTGTCGAACATAACTACCATCACTTCTAATAAGATGAGGTGTGTAGTATCTGTGCAGAGAGAGAGAGAGAGAGAGAAATATCCTTTAGAGGTGATGTACAGTGAGAGTCTGAGGACTTGTGCATTAAACGCGTAGCAATATCTGAAATCATTAAATAGGTCAAAACATCATCGCAAATAAAGCGAGAATGTGTGCACAGAAATAGACATTTTTTGTTGTTGCGGTGGTGGTGGTGGTGGTGGTGGTGGTGGTTGGCGAGAGGTGGGAGTCGTTCAAACCCTCTGCAGAAGGCAGTGGCTGAGCTGTCTGTGCAGATCGGAGCATTTTATTTTCAGACAATTAATTCCCAAACTATTCTTCCGACCCCCATTCCGTCGCTGCTGTTATTTCAAGGTCCCAATTTACCGCCTGTGCGCCAAACCCGCATTAGTTACGCAATGCTCCGGACAACAGCGGCTCCGACCCCCGTTAAACGGTCCCCCCCCCCCCCCCCCCCTTTGACACTGTTTCTGGTGGTGAAATGTCCAGAGAGAGAGAGAGAGAGAGAGAGAGATGGAGATGGAAAGAAAAAAAAAGCCCACAACGAAAATATAAGGGCAAAACGTTGTGAAATGAGTAGAAAAAAAAGACATATGCGATATAAACTGATGAATTGGTACTGAGCAATGAAATCCTATGAAACGTGGTATATATATACATATATCGAGAGAGAGAGAGAGAGAGAGATGTATTATATGTACAATGGACAGTATATTGCACACTGCAGTGTAGGATATGGCACATTGAAGGGTGTGACAACACAGGTAACGCACACATCGACCTCAGGACACCAAAAAAAAAGGTGATGATGCTCGCAATCTTTGCGACACGATGGGGGCTCTGGGGTGGGTGGGGGGGGGGTGGGTGGGGGGGGGGGGATGTTTTGGACGTTGTTGGTGATACTGTCTGTGGTTCCCTGTTTCAGCCTATGACACCTGGTGCGGTGTGGCTCACGGCTGCACAAAGAAAATCGGTCTGAAAATCTGCGGTGAGTACCCACCCCCTCGTGCATTCAGTTTTGTAACCCCCCCAACACCCCCTCCCCACCACCCCCCCCCCCCCATCCACCCCCACCCCCCCATCCAAAAAAAAAACAGGAGCTTTTAATTAACGTTCATCCATCAGGTGTTGCTCTCACAGATATAACCGATTGGTGGTCCATTCCCACACCAGTGTCCCCCCCCCACCCATTGACCTGAGCCCCACCAGTCCTCCCTGTGGTTTTTTTTCAATCGAAGGGTCATCAAAAACGCAGGAAACTTTGCCACTGAATAAGTTTACTTGTCCATTGCTCCCCCGGAATCGGTCGGTCATCACCGAACCGGTTTGGAACAAAAAAAAACATCAAAACTTCCAGTTGTGGGAGGTACAAAAAACACCACTTTTAATTCTCTCTCTCTCACTGCATTCACACTAAAGTGTATCCGTTCACGAAAGTGGAGATAATATTTAATTCGTTGGCCATATAACATTGCAGAATCCTTACAAATCCTTTATAAATCCTTTATAAATCTTATAAATCTTATAAAGATCCACAATCGTCCACAGATAATACTGTGTATAATTTGACCAGAATCTAAATGTAACCTGACATACATATATATACATATATAGTAACAACATATCTCTTGTCATTTTGCCACTTAAACCAAAAAGTTCTCCTCCAACCATTTCATCGTAGAAAACTATCAAAAATACACGACTGCCAATAAAACATAAATATTGCCACTGAAAACCACTTGGAATACAAAGCCTCAGTGTCCGGTGTTTTACTTGTGTGGTCGTTGCTTTTGCAAAGATGGGGACAATTTATGCTGAAAACAATTAATGTTCTCCAGTGTTTTGCACTGGATTTTTCTACAGTTGCTTTCTATGTGGAAGTGTGTTGTTTACAGCAGTACATGTTTTGATTCTGAAGATATCCTGTTTCATAGTTGAGTTCATGTGAACTATTTCGCTCTGAGGACGAAACGTGGGATGTGATCTGTCACAGATACCATAAATCTGAATTTAAGGCTGTCGTGTAAATGGGAGTTTTACAATGAGCAGCAAATCACAAAATCGTTTTAAACTCTTAACAAAGGAGCCCTTAATCTCATCAAGACAAGAATCATCAGACAACCCTGTTTACCACAATTAATTTCGAGGGGAGGGGAGGGGGGAGGAATAGAGAGAATGCTGAATTATCAGAGGTGATATCCTTCAGCTAAGATGTTGAGCCCATTTACCTGTCAGGTGGCAGTGAAAAGCCTCCATGACAAGTGTTTGAAAAGAGTCGAGTTTCTCTCTCCATCTCCTGACCAACAGTCCTTCAGGAAAACTAATGAATCATCTGCTGGCTGTTTGTGGGATCTTGCTGGCTGTAAAATGGCTGCTGTATTTGTCTACAAATGCACACACGTTTTGAATTTGTTTTGAATTTAAGGCACGGTGTCCAAAAGGCAAAGATTATTTTGCCAGCACACTTTACCGTAAGCGTTGTGGTGCCCCTTCGAGACATTTCCACGATGCGGTAAGGCGCTCTGTCAAAGGCAAGGATTATTATTATTATTTGCGAGAAGGTTTCAATGTGGGTGTACATTACATGTTGCAAATATTTTGCCTGACTTTCTATAGCGCTCCTTTACCAGCCCAGCAACTGTCCAGCAATGACATTCGTCTTATTAAACGGTGTGTGAACTGTAAGGATTCCTACCCAATGGTTCTCGCTTCTTAAGAAAATGTGCCCCTTCCCTCATCCCCTCAAAGTTTGGATTTCACGTTCTGTTCAATCCGCTTTGAGTGTCGTTCACTCTTTATTCTCATTGTAACAATCAAAAGTTAAGTAAGTAAAGGATGCATTTTATCTGATGATAGGAGAAACACAGCATTGATGACATCTCACCGTCTGTGAATGTCTCTCCTTAGTATGGCATGGACAATAATAATAATAATAATAATAATAATAATAATAATAATAATAATAATTTGGTCGCTCAACCGTGACTGTTTATGTGACACCCCTGTGTGCAATTGGCTGTCACGTTTCGCCCACAAAATACACAGTCAATCCACTTTACAATGTATCCTGCGAAGCTTTGAGATGCCTCAATCACGAGTTAAATGCAAACTATGTCAAATGCAAGGATTATTATTACACGTTTTCACGCTTTATAATGCCAGCAATTGTGGTTACAGCAGCAATATCAAATTTGCAACATAGAAGTGGTAATTTTAGGAACTCAATGAAGTCAGAGCACTTCAGCTGGTGTTATTGACACGGCTAATTTGGAATAGAAGTGCAGTTTAATAATAATTTGATCACTCAATCCACGGCTTATTGTGGGGGCACTGCTGCGCGCAGTTGGCTCGCCGCCTTCCGCCCACAGAACGCGCAGGCAATCCACTTTACGGGTCTATTCTGTGAAGCGCTTCGAGACGTCCGGAAGACGTGATCAGGCGCTGTATCAAGCGCAAGGATTACTATTATTATTATTCATTTTAGAAACGCAATGGATTCGGGACAGTTTGGTGTCACTGCCTCAGCTAATTTGGAAGAGAAATGTAGGGTGGGGTGGGGGGGGGGGGGGGGTGAAGTGGGGAGGGTGGGGTGGGGGAGGGGGTGAAGTGGGGGTGGGGGAGGGGGATAAGAGAGAAAAAAGTGGCTCCAATCCACACCATGTGTGTCTCCACAAGGCGCACAGCGCACTCTGGCGGCGACTCGTGGTACGTCTTCAGCGAACAGAACAGAACAGAACAGAAACTCACCAGAGCCTCTGCAACAGCAACAAAACTTCCTCTCCCTAAAGCCTTGATATGCAAAGCTCATCGCACACGACGTCCTTCTGACACCATTGCATTTCAACTACTTTAATCTCGCCTCCAGCGATATATATATATATATATATATAAAAAAAGAGCCAAGTTACTGTCATGTTACCTCCAGCCTGGTTGTCGCTTTGGATACATGTCATTTTTCTCTCTCTCTCTCTCTCTCTCTCTCTCTCTCTCTCTCTCAAACATATCTGGAACCTGGGAGGCTTTCTGATCTTTTATCATTTCCAACTTGACATCAAAATGTCCTACAAAAGGGAATATGGTAAACAGACCGCGTGTTTCTGAGAGATTTCCTCCTCATTGTGGTGTTTAATGGGTGGGAGGTGATGGGGAGGTGGGAGGAGGGGGAGGGGGAGGGGGAGAGAGGAAATCTTTTCATAAAAAGCTGCTTAAATGACAGCAAATACCATTCATTGAGTTAATTACCATTGCACAAAAAAACAGTGGTGGGTTTGAGGGCAGAATTGATCAAATATACAGCACTTGCAATTAGGAAGGGAGACAGAGAGAAAGAGACAGAGAGACAGAGAGAGAAAGAGAGAGAGAGAGAAAATTGTATTGTTATGGGGAAAATAATAAAATAATGTGTGTTTTTTTGGGGGGGGGTTGGCGTTGATTTAGAAGCGTTTTCCCAGAGGAATTCATCAACCTTATCAGCTCACAACCGCCCCCCTCTCTCTCTCTCTCTCTCTCGAGGGAAACAGATTAATGGGAAAGTTATTAAAAGCCAATCCTTCACCTCTCTGTGGTGTGAGATAACAGCACCAAACCAAAAAAAAATAAAAAATCCCCCACAACATTACTGTATAAATGGAAACTGGAGTCTGGGAAAAAAAACTGGACAGACCTTGATCTTCTTTTGTCCCATTTATATATATATATATATATATATATGTATATATATATATATATGGTTAAGGCTTTTGCAAACGAATCAACAGAGTTGGGGACAGATGGGGGTCAGAGAGTCAGAGAGAGAAAGAGAGAGAGAGAGAGAGCATCGAATACTGAACGTAATGTCAGGGTACAAGTGAGTCAAAAAGGAATAGTAATGTGTGCAGCAGTTCTTGTGGAGTCTGTTTTCCAGACTTCACAACATACCCATCGATCAGATTTGAGTGGACTCACGTTTTGCTATTCGTTGCAGAGTGCGAGTCGGTGTCTGGAAGAGTCGGTTTTAATACCAAAATGCAATTTCTTTTTTGTTTGCATATGGCACGATTTAAATGGCCCTAAATCGTGACATGATATGACAGTGCGAGGGGTGGGGAGTGTGTGTGGGGGGAGTGGGGGTGGGGGTGGTGGGGGGGTCTCACACCGAGCAGTGTTGGGCTGTGTTGAATCGAAAGATTTCATTCCGTTTCAGTGAGTGTGTGATCAGAATCAAAGCCCGAGGGCAGAGATACAGCAAAACAACTGCTGCGGGAGATGGACTTCCAAATGTATAGCGACTATTTCCCCATCATCCTGACCAGGTTTAACCCCCCCTCCCCCCACCCACCAACCCCCCACTAACCCCCCCACCCCCCACCCACCCCCCAGCATTGCAACCAGGTCTGGGCTTCAATATTAATCACCATCATCAAGGTCACACTGTTAAGAAACTGTCTGTCTGTCTGTCTGGGCTCTGAATTTAAAGAGCACATTATTTTGGAATCAGGTCACCCACCACACGATGATGATGATGATGATGATGATTATTTGTGTGTGTGTGTGTGGCTGAAATTGGCTGTTTCTGATGCTGATGAAAGCCCACAGTTTGCCCCCAGTGTTGGATTGAGAACGGTCGGAATTGCCTGGAACTGAATTGTCTGTCGGTGGTGAAGGAAAATCTGAACAATGTGAACATTTCTTTGACACGAGTCAGTGCTGACTTTCTGAAGGAGATCCATTAGAAGAGGCAACGAACGATTCGAGGGACAGTGACAGAGTCTGGTTGAGATGTCTGATGTTTTTATTGGGGGGTGGGGGGGGGGGGGTGGGTGGGGGGGGGGGGTGGAGGAGGGGTATTTGCTTCAATTCAGAAGATAACAGAGAAACCGTTCGAACCCTTCCAAGTCTTCATTCTGCCCTTATTTTTCTTCTCTCAGTCTATAAACTTTGGCCCAGAGGGTTTCCTTGACCCCCCATAAGGTTGCTTTCTCTCTCCCTCCCTCCCCCTCTCTCTCTCTCTCCCCTCTCTCTCTCCCAGTGGCTGTTCATGGGAGTGTAATCTGTCGGGATGGATTTAATACGAATTTGCCAGTGCACTGACTAGTTGAGGAGTATTTGTATGTTTTACATGGTTGGCTTTTGTTACTGACGACACAGTGATCTCATCCTCCTGGGGGGCAAAATGATGCTCATAAATGCTCTCCTCTCTCTCTCTCTCTGGCGGGTCACTTGTGGACAGAAAGGATAAAGCAAAAGCATTCAGATTCTGTGGAGCACTGAAGTGTAGTCGGTGCCATTTGAGATCCCTAAAGAACTCCCACTCCCCACTACTCCCCACTCCTCCCCACTCCCAGTGCAATATGTTAGGAAGCGACCAGAGACCCCCTCTGACTGGTTCTGCTTATAATAATGTAGGTTTCTTGCAAAGAACCAACAGCATCGAGGACAAGAGCAGAATTGGGGGGGCGCTGAAGTCCCCCAAGAACCTGATCACCTGTGACAACAGCGACAGAGACCTCAGATTCAGTCGCAACGAGACGGACTTCTCCAATCTCTACGCCAGAGGTACGTTTTTATTCATCTTCTTTTATTTTATTCGATAAGGGGTTGGGAGAGGGGGAGAGAGAAAGAGAGAGAGAGAGGGAGAGAGGAAGGGGGAAAGGGGGGAAAAGGCATATTTTTCAAGAAGTTGAGCTGAAAATGCAATCAGGTGCAATGGAATATTTCCCTTTTTTTTCACTGTTTGTGTAAATTTTCAGCAAATGCATTAAGTTTTCAGTCTCCGCCTTTGCACAAACAGCAAACTTTGTACCTGTGCAGTCATTCCGATGCTCCAGTTTGTCAATACTGTCGTAATATGTGTTTTTTTTTGTTTCCCCCGTTAATTTAGTTTTGCTGCGGGGAGTTTTATATTTGATATATTTTCTTTTAATGATTAGATCTGAAAGTGCTTTGGTATCAGAATTGTCGGGTGTGTGTTTTAGGAGAATTTAGGAGTGTGTTTTGGACATATATTTATATATAATGGGCTTATATTATGTTGTGTGTGTGTGTATGTATATATATATACTATATATTTAGTCTTAATGTTATGTTTTAAATTAATGGGTTACGCTTATTTTTGCAAAATTTATTCTGAAACTCTGCATTTTTTTTTGTGTTGGGCAGAAAGAAACTGTGTTTGGTCGTGTTGTCACCGTTAGCCAACGGTTTACGAGATGGTATTGTAATTAAAAAAAAATAAAACCTGTTAATCGGGGGAGTCAACCTGAGATACGACAGAGCAGAGGATACAGAGAGAGATGGAGAGAGAGAGAGAGATGGAGAGAGAGATGGAGAGAGAGATGGAGAGAGAGATGGAGAGAGAGATGGAGAGAGAGATGGAGAGAGAGATGGAGAGAGAGATAGAGAGAGAGATGGAGAGAGAGAGAGAGAGAGAGAGAGAGATGGAGAGAGAGGAGAGGAGAGAGAGAGATGGAGAGAGGGGGAGAGAGAGAGAGATGATGTCCTGCCCTTGTGCCTTCAGACCTGTTGCCTGCCAAGAATGGAGAAGAACAGACAACCCAATTCCTTCTGGAGGTGGTCGACATCCTCCTCAACTACGTCAGGAAAACGTTCGACAGGTCCACAAAAGTCCTGGATTTCCACCACCCACACCAACTCCTGGAGGGAATAGAGGGCTTCAACCTGGAGCTCTCAGACCAACCTGAGTCCCTGGAGCAGATACTGGTGGACTGCAGGGACACCCTGAAATATGGAGTCAGAACAGGTAAAGGTCATCCTTCTTATCAAACCCCCCCCACCCATCCCACCCCACACCATCTCAACCTCAGATTTGTTAGATGGTCACATTTGAATTCATACCTTATATATATTTTTTTCTCTCTCTCTCTCTCAACGTCGCTCCTCCATTTGGCAAAATAATAATAGTAATAATAATATTAACAATAATAACAACAACCTTTTAGAAGTCTCAGTGGAATAAGTGGGTGGTTTAAAAGAGTGAGGAACACACGTTTGGGTCTGAACTTTGCCTGATTCCATCTGAATTCAACTCATATTTTTTTTTTGGTGGGGGGGGGAGGGGACTCTTAGAACATTGTAGTTGTGGTTTTGTGTGAACGATGCAAAAAAGAACACATCAGTTAGTGCTGTGAGAATCTGGTGAAAATGCTTTCTCTATTTGAAAGGATCTTGACACCCACACACGCACATACACACCCACCACACACACACACACCCACACACACACACATACACACCCACACACACCCTTACCTCAGGAGGTCCTGTTAGATAAGATCGATTGGTGTGAATGCTCCATACATTACAACTGTACTCTTGTCAAAAAATGTGATTGGGGGCATTTTCCACACGTGTGATTTAGGATTTGCTCCTGTCCCTCTCTGCCTTTATAATCCTAAATTAATTACAGATGAGGATTTTAAGTCATATGATAAATAGAATATGTCATGGTCAGTAGGGAGATAAGGAGCTCCAGTCCAAAGGTTGACTTATTGGCGAGTTATTTGCTCTTGGCCGCGCTTCCTTATGGAGATATGACAAATATCTCATCGCTAACCTTGACTTGCCTGTTATATAGCACTGTCTGTACAGTCGAGTTGATGTGGAAATCATCGGAATTATCCCAAATCAAATTGGTCTTTTCCTCCCCCTCCCCCCCCTATTGTTTCTTCCACTGACTCTTCTCAGTGGGGAGAATAATAACAGAATGTTTTGCTCATAAATTGAACCCAAATGTGTGGATAATCAGCTGCAAACAGTCTATTACAAGTATATTACCTTCAACTTCATCGAGGTATGGATCCGACGCGGTAATGAGACGGAAAGGCAATTATTTCTCATCGGGAGATATATTCGCAGTTGTTTGGCAATTAATCAATAAATGTATTTAACGTGAAGATGTTCAACACTGTTCCCTCTCCCTCTCCCTCACTGAGCTGGGGGGAAATGAAGAGTCGGGGTGGATAATTTACTTCTCAGTTGCTTGGCTGTCATCCCTCTCACTGTGTTATTTGGTTGGAGGAAGGATCTGGCGTATCTCCCACTGACAAGAACCTTCATACACCCGCCTCCTAGTCATTAGTGAGAAGAGCCACGTTATAATTAACTCTGCCCAGTCAACCGTTTGACTGATGGTAACCTGGTGATCAGCAGAGACCTGCCATCATTCTGTTCGAAAAACAGCCTCAAATCTGCTTTTTCAATTACAGAGAAATTCGTGGATATTGTTTTTTTTTAAAATGCACGTGGGGTTTGAATTTCACTCTAGTTTGTTCCCATAGAAATAGTCGCCCACCAAATAGACAGTCAATTACACTTTACTTGCGAGGTGCTTTGAGACGTCTCAACACGGCGGTATATCAAACACAAGGATGATTATTATTATTACAGTTGATGTATCTGCCAAACCAAATTGAGGGGGACTGCTGACATTTATGAATATACAATTAGTTATCTATTGTGGTGAAGGGTTTTGCATCCTGCTGTAAGTACCTCTCAGGTAGAAATTATTCTGATATCAATCATCAATAAAGAATTTTTTTTAAAAAAGCCATCGAATAGCAGGAATATACACTGACACTTATTCTCAAACCCTTAACCTGCCCAAGTGCAGATCTCAGTGCATAAGGTGTCTTCAAGCTAAATGTTATTCACAATACTAACTGGTTCAATATGTATATCTAATATTTGGATCAGAAATATTGGTATTAATATGCATATTCAGATTATGGCAATAGTGGCACTTTACAACAACAACCCATAAATATACAATCAATTCACTTTACCGTATATTCTGTGATGCACCTTGAGACGTCTCAACGACCTGATACGGCGCTATATCAGTTGCAAGGATTATAACAACAACTCGCATGTGTAGTATATAGCGCCCTTCAGGCAGGCAATGACAGCCAAACATTTTATCTCAGATCATTTCCTAGTTGATTTCCCCAGCAACCGCTCTGCAGTGCTCGTCAGATAAACTAACACTTGGTTCAGTCTGAGCTCATCCTAATCTTAAGTAATTGCATCAAGAGAAATTGGGAGTGAAACAGGACGTAAACACGATGTTTTCTGTTGATCGTTTATTTAAGCCAATCTGAGTATATATATTATATATTAAATAGACATTTTCCAATTCCCTTACGCCCACTTACCGCACCCGTTCATCAGTTTTATAGTATCGCATTGCCTCTGATTTCATGTCAAAGGGTAGAAATATTTCCTGTAAAGAGTACAGTACTAAGCAGTTATACATTAACTCCCGAATGTCAAATTGGAAGAATCCAATTGTTTCCGTTCCGATTGAAATCCATGTGAGGTATGGGAACCTCTATATGTAGGCAATTACATGCTAAACCCTTTAGTAAAGAATGAGGATATAAATTTATTCATCCACGTTTTATCTGCATGCAGACTGAACACTCAAATTTATAGGAGCCAAGAGACTTTCACTTTGCCCTCCATTAACCAAGACTTAAATGCTTTCGTTATGAACCTTAGAACATCACAGTGTCATTCTTCATCATTTAGTAAAGCAAATATTTTGAGAACTTCCCCCCTCCCCCCTTTAAAATAATTAATAACTGTACATGACTCCTGTGTGTGAGATGAGCTGGGTATTAACATGTATGGTCTTTATAATCTACATCCAAAACATTTGATATCCATGTGTTTACAGGGGAGATAACCAATTATTACTGTTTGGAAAATATATTTGTATATTTTTTTGTCCCTGAATTTATCGAATGCCAACATTAGATCAAATCCCCACGCCCCTCCCCCAGCTGTCAGATACAGTTCATTAATTCAAGGAAATAAAGGCTAATTAACTTTATTATGCCTTTAATTAAACTTCAACCCTAGGGAAAAAATCTATATATTTTAATCAGTTTTAATTCAGTCCATGGGCTGACTGTGATTGACCTTTAAATACAACAGACTTGAGATAAGTAAATCCCTTTTGAAAAGATTTGTTTGTGACTTTTTTTCTAACCTCTCAACTCTCCAGCAAATAATTTTTATCCAACATAGCTCAATATATTTTCCATTATCTGATCGAATTTCCATCAACAAACTCTCAATTAAACTGCCAGATTTACGGTCAATCAAATGGACTGCTCTCACTTTCAGTGAGGGGTTATTTGTGTTCATTATTTGCAGTAAATCATCAATTACTGTGTTCTGAATTTGTCCCGGTGGATTTTCAATACTCATAGGGTCTATTAATACCTTTTAGCTGCTTAGAAAAGGCATCCTTGGGTCTTATGTAATTGATAAATGCATAATTTTTTTTCGTCCACAGAATATTCATTCAAATCACTTTACAGTATATCCTGGGAAGCGATTTGAGATGTCTCAACGATGTGATAAGGCGCTGTATCAAATTCCAGTATTAATATTATTATTATAAAACTAGGTAGCCCCATTGTATTACAGACCTTACGTTTATTCCTAAAATTGGCTTTCTTGTGTTCAGATCAACTTTCTTTGTTTAATGTAATTTTATCCTTTTTTTAAAAAAATAAACTCAATAGCTTTTCCTAATACGATGGCATTTTGTATTAGATCCAAGGGTACAAATTATCAAAGTGTGCTAGCTTAGAATATAATTCAAATCACTTAATGTATATAGAGATAAGTAAAGAAAGACTGTTAAAAATTACTGAAAGTGTTTAACAAATATTGTTGAACAGTAGTCTGCACAACCCAAACAGTAGCCCATTTATTGTAGAGTGGAAAGGATTGTCAGTCTGTCCCATTTGTCACTGGTGAAGGAGAATGCATCTAAAGGAACCGATGACCCCACTAAAAACGTATAAAAGGTCAATATCTTTGATGGAAAAGGGGCCACTTGCCCTTCAGTAATCTATTTATTTTCCCTCACACCATTCTATGATTAAAGCTTGAACGTATATATATATATAGTCCACACACAGGATTTCATATTTTGGTCAACAAATGTGATCATAAATGCCTTTGTTGCCGTTTGCCCATTTAATGAGTAGATTTGACAGTCTTGGGGAAAGTGTGGAATTTGTTGTACAGTCAAAATGTTGAGCTTGCACTTAGATTTTTCTATTGGTTCATTTTGTGCTGTGTTTAAAGAAAAGTCGTTCCAATTCCATTGACTAGATTTACAGTATGCAGATATCCAGTAATATGGGATTATTTGCCACTCTCTGCAGAAACCCCTGTGTTGGGTGTAATGAAGAGACGCTGTAGGTAATTCTTTTACAAATACATTAAAATGTTTCCCTGGGCGAGTGAGGAATAATCACTTCTGTGTATGAGCCTGAATCCACGAGACAGATGGGTTGAAAAACCTTTAAATGAGGAGGTTGTTTGCCCCCTTTCATTGATGTCTTTTATGTTAAATTCCCCACAGGACATCCTCGTTTCTTCAACCAGCTTTCTTCTGGTCTGGATATCATCGGTTTGGCTGGAGAATGGCTCACGTCCACAGCTAATACCAACATGTAAGTTCAGACATGCACTTAATCCTTGTTTTTCAATTCCCAGAGAGGTTTTTTNATATCTATCTATCTATATATCACAAAAGAAAATGCATTAGTTCCCGCATTAGGAATCCGAAAGATACAGCTCATCAGACCTGAATGGATGGACCACAACAACACAAAGTCATCTAATCCCCTTTCACAATGTCCTAGTGATAGAGAGAACACACATCATCCCAAGAGCATTTTACATTCGAATGATCAACACGAGTGAATTTCAATTGAAAATACAAAAATAAAGACGAACAAATAATTCCCGAAGGACAGGCTCTACTCTTTCAGCCAAGTTATCTTTGTGGAGTATTATATCCTTGCTGGATGGAATAAATTTAACCAGGTAAAGTACATGGAATTTTCAGATCACACAAGGGGCTTCAAATCTCTTTATGGGTGATTTGCTTGTCACACTCGACTGGACTTCCTGTCAATTTTTTCCCCCTTATAAAATACACCGAGAAACTACATAATAAAAGCACCAAAAAAATCATAAATTGGAGAGAGGAGTTTTTCTTAAAATGATGTGGGTGAATGTGCACAGTCTCATGCTGGGTTAATGATCCACCTGCCCAGGTTGATTACTGACTGTATCTTGTGCATCATTGATTGTGAGCATCCAACCAATTCATTGAAGGACTGGAACAGAGGAAGAGAGAGAGAGCATTGTCAAAAGCCATGGAGGTCATCTGGATGTTGTACAGAACGAAAAACTATTTGTGTCAAATGCTATTTTATTAATGCAAAATGGAATTAGTTGTGAGAGCATCTGTTCATTCCTGGGCTACCTGACTGTAGAGTCCTTGAGCTCAGATCAAATCGAATGGTTAACAATATAAATTTTCTGAAGATAGGAACAAATGGCGAATAAATATGCGAGGCAGTGTGGGTTTTTCATTGTGCCTTTAACTACGGTTTCCATTTGACGGTTTCTTCTTCCCACAAATACTCTTCCCAATTGTATTGTGCTTAGTAAATCCTGAAGGCTCATTTCACTGTTTGTTCAATCATCCAGTTAAAAGAGCTAAGGAGAGAGTGACCACACTATTCCCTCAATATACAGACTACGTATATTTCACGTGTGAAATCGCACTTCCTCACACATCTATCCACAAATAGTATGGGTGACTGAATACATCTTATTGGATATTAGGAAATATTATTGGATATTACAATTAAACTTGTCACTCATTCACTGCCTTTCACTACAAAAACAAAAATTGGTGCGTGGGGGAATTAGCACTGCGTTATATAAATAATAGCCATTAGATTTTTTTTGGAACCCAAGTCAATATTCTTAATTACGTTTGCTGACTGCTTGTCTATATGTTGTATTCCATGAAATATTGAGTTCAAACATTGGTGCTTCCACCTTGTTCACAATAACATGTTTACAAGTCATACAAGGTAGTACTTCTTGGTATTTAGATCTCTTATAAATAACAATTAAGTGGACTGACCTGGAGGGTTGTCTATATTTTACATGGATGTGTTTCATTATTATTCATTGATCTGATCCTGAGGATAATTTAGATTTGTTTGTTACAAATAAATGAAATGCAAAAGTTTTGCAAAAATGGTATCTTAACAGTGAGGCTGATTGTTGAAGAATAATTCTACCACAACCTCTGTCCCTCAGGTTCACGTATGAAATCGCACCAGTCTTTGTCCTCATGGAACAGATCACTCTGAAGAAAATGCGGGAGATGATCGGCTGGCAGAACGGAGATGGCGATGGAATCTTTTCACCTGGTAAATAATATAACAAATTTGCTTTGCTGATTTATGTCACCTTGTTACTGGTGAGCTGATTAATAGAAATAGTCTGTGAATTTAATCAGCAAGCAGGAACTCGGTCGTTAGTTGATTTGCGGATCGCTTTCCGGGGGTAATAATCCCTTTTAAAAAAAAAGGTTCGGTCACTCAATCCACCGCTGTTTGTGGGACACGGTTGTGCACAATTTTCATTATTTTAAAAGCCATCATTCTATTGTTTTTCAGGAGGAGCTATTTCAAATATGTATGGTATTATGGCAGCTCGCTATAAGTATTTCCCAGATGTCAAAGTTAAAGGGATGTCTGCAGCCCCCAAATTGATTCTGTTCACTTCAGAGCATGTAAGTTTGAGTTGTAGTCAATAATTTCTTTCAACCCTGTTTCTGGGACTAGGCGTGCTGCACACCTCCTAAAGGAGATGGTTATATAAGTGATTGATTTTTGTTCATTTGCAGAGTCACTACTCAATAAAGAAAGCAGGAGCCGCACTTGGTTTTGGAACAGATAACGTGATCTTGTTAAAATGTGACGAAAGGTATGATTCAGTCCACTACACTGTTGTGTGCAATTGGCTGCCGTGTTTCACCTGCAAAATACAGTCAATCCACTTCCCGATATATTCTGTGAGGCGCTTTGCGAAGTCTCGACAACGTGCTGGCTCGGGAAAAATGGGTTACACATAATGATTTTTATACGAGTTTTATTTCTAAAATAATTTCAGAGGGAAAGTAATGCCATCTGACCTGGAAGCAAAAATTATTGAAGCTAAGCAAAAGGTATGTGTTTTTATGTTCTCTGATATTCTTCATTATATTCTAACGCAACTTATCAAACACACATCAATGTTGCCACATGTCCAGATGTGGATGTAAGACAGAACTAAATCAGACTTATTTAATTTCACAGGGATACGTTCCACTTTATGTTAATGCAACTGCAGGAACTACAGTATATGGCGTGTTTGATCCTATTCAGGAAATAGCAGATATATGTGATAAATATAACCTCTGGCTCCATGTCGATGTAAGTGTTTTAATTTCTTTAAAATATTTATTTTTAAGAAGTCACAAAAATTGCGCTTTCATGAACTATTTGCTGTTTGTTTCGCTCACTTTTGTTTAGGCTGCATGGGGAGGCGGACTTCTGATGTCTAGAAAACATCGCCACAAGTTGAATGGCATTGAAAGGTAAATGCTCTTCATCGAATCTTACAGCACAGAAGGAAGCCATTCGGCCCATCGTGCCTCTGGCAGCTCTTTGAAACCAGTCCCAATCCCCTGCTCTTATCCCATAGCTCTGCAAATTTTCCCTTTCAAATACTTATCCAATTCCCTTTTGAAAGCTACTGTCGAATCTGCTTCCACCAACCTTTCAGGCAGTGATTGTAACTTGATATGTTTTCTTTACAGAGCCAACTCAGTTACTTGGAATCCCCACAAGATGATGGGAGTTTTGTTGCAGTGCTCAGCTATCCTTGTTCGAGAAAAGGTATCCATCTACTTAATGAAAGCACACAGACCAGTTATTGTTAGATCTGTCAGTATAAATCAAGTTATATTATCACACTGTTATAAAAATGGACTTGCAATTGACAATGAATAACAAAATCACCTGTGTTCCCTAACATTTTTCTTAAGGGAAACAATATAATAGATGTTACACAATTGTTATATCGTCTATTATTTTCTAAAAAAAATTACATGTGTGTTTAATTTCTCAAATTATCCCTAAATGTATTAAAAGTGATGATAAGAGTCTATGTGAATAAGCTGTTTTGTGTAGAATATTCCCTTCTCCACCTCTGTCAATGGACACAACTTCATTTTTGACACTTTTATTTTGTTAACTTAAAAGTCCATTTCTGAAATGGATCATTCCCCGCCCATACAACCAGGTGATGTTATCACATTTTAAATTATCATAAGAAGTGCTCTCCAAGTCTTTCACTGATATTAGTACCACCTGGGGGCCCACAACAGATCCTTGCAGAACTAAACTAGTACCTGCCATCCCTTCTCCTGACACTTTATCCACTTATCATCACTTACCGGTGTTCTCTTCTTGCAACCCTATCAACTCAACCAAATGCCTCCATTGGCTCCCAGCCAGGCTACTGAACACAATTAATGAATATTGCTGAAAAGCATAACAATGTCATTCCTTGCAGTACTTAACAGGGAACTAACTGGCTGTGGGAGAATAAAGTCGTGTTACCTAATACTGTTTCCTTTTTATCTAATGGGCTGCAACAATTGACAAAATGTTCTTCCCCCACAGCCACTTTCCTGTAAAGATTGGAAAGAAACGACATTCATGTACATCTCAGCAACTCCCTGATACGTTCAGCGAGACAATTATGTTGAACAGAATGGCTGGGAGCCAACCTGGGCTATGGGCTCGGCTGATATAATTGCTGAGAGCTCCAGAGACATTATTCTCTTGAGACAATGTTTCTGTCTAGTGGTTGTGGAAAACCATGTATTAAAAAAAAACTATGCGTGAGGCTTGTAGTTATTCTGCAGAGTAAACCGAGAGAATTATTTTAATGATTCAAAATATCTACGTGCTCAATAGCCATCCATACAAGAATGCCTACATGCCGTCGGTGCTGCATAGATTTAATCAAAGCTTCTCTCGAGCGGAAAACTCCCTTTCCTTCTGTTGAGATATGATTCCACAGATATCTGTACTCCTAACAGGAGTCACTAAATAGTGATTAAGCATAGGAACTCTAGTCAATGTAGATTAAGGATACTTCAAAGGATAATTGAGCAACCTATACAATTAAAAAAAATATTTACTCCATTCTCCTGGAGATCCAGCAGTGTCAAAATTATGAAATTTATAGGTGTTGGAAAAGTAGGTTTTTTTAAAGACTATTTCCTTTGAAACTTCTATTCCAAAGCTACAATATTTGACAGAACAACAACAACAACTTGCATTTATATAGCGCCCTACACGTGGAGCAGCATCTTGGAGCGCTTAAGATATTAGTAGTTAATATAATGTAAGGAAGAAGATCACACGATGAGTGTAGCAACTTGGATCATTGATAAACTGACGAGAAAATTAAAGCAGATTCCTGAATTGGGTGGATCTTGCATTCATCACACACTTCTCAAGTGTGCAGTTGAAGGGTTTGCTTGAGTTCACTGGCATGAGATTCAGAGCCAAGTAAATGCTGCCAAGTAAAGATTACTTTGCATATTCCTTCTACCTTTAGAGAAGGATTGCAGTAGCCTCTGCAGTTTCAATTGACTGAGAAGTGTAGTTATCTGTTCGAAAAGCGATCTAATGTCGTTGAGGCCAAGTGTTAATAAAGCCAGACAATAGTGCTGGAATTAGTAGGGAAAACATAATGCGTGGAGCTTTTAAGGCTGTTAAAATCTAATTAAGGTATAAATTGAAGGTATTAAAGCATAGCAAGCAATAGTGCCACTGGGAATAGTAGCCCAGCAGAAAATGTAATAGTTAGGTCCAATGTTAGCAGTGAAGCTGAAATAAAATGGAAAATGCATGTTTGGCGTATTGAAGGCTGACTGGTCTAATGAAGATTTGGAAACCCACACAGCACAGAGACCAGACAATGAGATCAATAGTTTCACAGAAGTTTTAAGAAACAATAATCCAAGTTGGTTATCGACTTTCAGGCTAACGTTTCAATGTCAGAAAGATGTAAGAAATAGTCAGAAATCGGAAGTGGCATGACAAGGTTGTTGTTTGGAAAAATGAGTTGCATGGTGGATGGGCGTATTAGATATTGTGGTTGCCTTTTGTCAAGGTGTGAGAGGTGAGATCTGGTCTTGTGGTTTTCTGCTGTAAACGTAAAACCATGGTTGGAATTTTATAAAACATCCCTTGAGGTTGTCACTGTGCGGTAACTAAACATACTGTACTTATTTTTTGCTATCTCCAAAATAATACAACTTTGAAACCTGAATATCATCTAAAACTATCAGGCAGTTGCAGTTTTGAGTGTTGAGTTTGAGTATGAGTGAGTGTTGGAAAAGTAGGTTTATTCAAGGACGACTTTCTTTGAAACTTTTATTCCAAAGCAAAGCATTTGACAGGAGTTAAAATAATGTAAGGAAGAAGATTGCACTATGGGGTCTATGAGACAAATGCAGCCTTGAAGGTATTCAAGCATGGCAAACAATAGTGCACCTATTTTAATCCAATGATGACCAGTTAATTTAGACATTTTAGTAAATTAGATTGGCAGGAGATGCTGGGAAGCCCTAATTGAATCTTGACCTTGTTTGATTACATCTTGGTCATTAACTCAACCTCCTGGTGAATGTAATGGTGGAGAAAGAATGAGATACAAACCAATTGCAGTCACTGAAATGGACACAAGGAAACAAGGCCATAGAAGGCTAGAGACAAAGAACAGGAAATAACTAAAAGAAACATACATAAGAAATTGAGCAAGCAAGTAAGAAACAAAATGGAGTATATACATATAAAATGCGCTATATGAATGTAAATTGTATTATTGTATCATGCTGGTTGGTCAAACTGTTTTTCAATTAGAGACAATGAATTGCATTAACTTTCTTTGAAATGGCTAAACTGGCAAAATGATAACAAACCTTCCGTTGCATTGAGGAATGGCAACATAGGAAGAAAGAAAGCAGAGCTTTTGAAAAGGCTGTTTGGCCTTTTCATTAATGTCTGAACTCTGACAATCTTAAGAATAATAACCTCATAAATTATACCGACTTTCATGTCTTACCTTTCTCTTTGATTCTTTTTCTTATAAGTGTGGGAAAATGAGTCCAGTTGTATAATTATAGAATATTTTTAAACTCTGTGCTGCTATATATAATAGAATACTAACAAAATTGCTCTATTTATTTATAGGGGCTCCTTCAAGGCTGCAACCAGATGTGTGCAGGGTACTTGTTCCAGCCTGACAAGCAGTATGATGTATCTTACGACACAGGAGATAAAGCAATTCAGTGTGGTCGTCATGTGGATATTTTCAAGTTTTGGTTGATGTGGAAAGCTAAGGTACAGTAGCACAGGTTATTTTTTTTTCATGAAACAAGTCAAGCCTCTGAAAATATGTTGGTCACTCAATCCACGACTGTCTGTGGGACACTGCTGTGCGCAATTGGCTGCTGTGTTTCGCCCACAAAATATGCAGTCAATTCACTTTACTGTATATTCTGTGAAACGCTTTGATACATCTCAAAGACACGATAAGGCCCTATATCAAAGGATTATTTATTATTATAATTTAACGTTGCCAGTATCTTTTTTGCCAGACCTTCTTGCATTATTAGTGCCTATGTACTTGTTATCAGTTTTACTCTCAGGCTTTGATACACAAATTCTCTTTGCATGACTGAAAGAACGCTTAACAGACAAATGTGCAGTTAAATATGAAAGTCTAGCCAATGTGATGTATAATGGTCTGTGCAGTATAACTGAAGTCTCATCTCTGGCTTATGAAATATTTATGATGCAAAGCTCCATTTAACTCTCCCATAAATACTTTTAATCTGTAACAATCCTTATGCAAGCTACTAAAATGCGGGAAATTCATCATTAAGATGCGTAAAGTCAGAGCCAGATTTTTCGAGTCAGTGGACGACCATATTCAAATGACTTCCGATCCTCTTCTGAAGTCATTAGAATTTTTTTGGGTTCTGAATCCTGATACTCAAGTAACCACATAACTCTCATAAATAGTTTGCAATGCAATTTTTACTGTGGAAAAAATATTTGGAATTACATGAATCTGGTTGTGTATGTTGGTGCTGAATCTGTGATATCACATTGAATGTAATATAAACTAATCCTTATATGCCACAGACCCATAGAAACGTAGACAATAAGACGCCATTCATCACATTTTTTCAATGTCAGTATTTGCTCCTCCAAAGTAGCCCCGTGGAGTGGAAATTGATTAAAGCATAACGCACAGAGCTTCAGGGCACCTTCATTACACAACTTGGAAATATTCATGTACAAAACCTGTTTACTATTTGTAGGGCAGGAATTGATTTGAAAGTTAGTCACTTGTTTTGTTGTAAACTTAATATCACATGAACTATGCTCATCCAGTATGAGTCAGTTGTCTCCCTTTTAAGTATTATAGCTGGTAAATTAGTACTTATGTTGATTTCAATAATGGGCTGTCTATAGGTTCAGAGCACAGGTTTTAATGTGCAGATTACCTAAATATTAAACATGCTTTCTATACATCTCATTACAGGGCACAGTGGGATTTGAGATTCAAATTAACAAGTGCTTGGATCTGTCAATGTACCTCTACACCAAGATTAAAAACAGGGAAGGCTACAAAATGGTATTTGATGGAGAAGTAAGTGTTTATCATTTACTCCATTTAGCACAGCGTTTCCCACTCCTGTAATTCTGTGGATTAGCCACCACCACTGTCATAAATCAAGAAGTATTCCCTTGTTTCCCACCACTCCTTCCTACCCCAACCTGGTGAGTGATATGACGGGTTAAAGCATTTAACAGCTTTGTTTGTTTCAATCAGCTAAATGCGCGTGAGAGCTCCTTTATTTAATGGTGATGATAGAATTGGTCACATCATAAGATCATAAGATGTGGAGTCCTGTAGCTCAGTGGTGAGAGCACTCACGACGCAAGCGAGAGGTCCTGGGTTCGATTCCCGGGCAAGATGAAACATTGGGCAAGTTTCCTTACTCCACACACTTCTGTTTACCTAACAGTAAGTAGAAACACGGTTGTTAGTTGATTGGCGGATTGCTGTTTCGGGGATAATAATTCCTTTTTTTAAAAAAAATTGGTGACTCAAACCTCGACTGTTTGTGAGACACTGTTGTCGCATTTCACCAACAAAATATACAATCAATTCACTTTACAGTATATTCTGTGAAGCACTTTGAGACGTGATAAGGCGCTATATCAAATGCAAGGATTATTATTATTATTATTTTCTATTTCACTTACAGCCTGAGCACACAAACGTTTGTTTTTGGTTCATTCCACCAAGTCTCCGAGGAATGCCAGATTGCGCAGATCAAATGGAAAAACTTCACAAGGTATAAACTCTACTTTCTGTGGTAGCATGAGGTCAAACACATACAAGTTGTATCCATATTGTTTATGAATTAATGCTGCTTTTGATTTTCATTTACTTTATGTCTTAGCTGTTGAGTGATGCCAATTACCTGTTGTGCAGGGCAACAAGCCTCTACATTAACCTTGAGGTTGAGCATTGGTGATTCTGAGATTGTAGGGCCAGAGATTAATCTCAGTTCAGTTTGAATTGACACGTATTTAACACCTTCCATCCCCCACCCCACCCCACCCATCCTCACCATTATCATTTTCTTCCTAGCTGTTAATCTGACAAGAACGTGCAGTGAAAAACACAGTTATTTAAGGCAGGGTGTGGATGAACGGTAGGATTAACTATGTGACTGAATGAGCGACTCTTTTCTGATCTAGTTCTTAGATTGCCAGTAGGTCTATGGAAAATGATGTACGTTGATTAACAGATGACCTCTGTGCATTGCTTCCTCTCCTCCCAATGAGAGAGCTGAGAGTTGAGGGGGTTGGGGTGGGCTTGCATTATTAGAATTCATGGTCTCATACCCATATCCTACCATAGAGTAGTACTGGAGCTTAGTTGGCATCCTGATGATTTAACATCTAATTAGGACAGGGAGCTGATACTAGGTAAGAGATTGCATATTGGTATAAATAAGGGTTAACCCCTGAAATCACTACCCTTTATAGTCTCTATTAGAAATACGAGTATTTTCACTCTGCATACAGGAATGTAACGAGCGTTAATCATTGTAATTTTCAAGGTGGCTCCAAAATTAAAGGCACGAATGATGGAATGCGGCACTACAATGGTTGGGTATCAACCGCAAGGCGACAAAACTAACTTCTTCCGTATGGTGGTGTCAAACCCAGCCGCAACAATGTCCGACATCGACTTCCTCATCGATGAGATTGAAAGACTGGGACAGGATTTGTAAAAGGTTAAGTTAGTCTAGTTTGGCATCACCACCTTTTTTTGCTTTCTCCCGAAACCGATTACGATCCTTTTCTATAAATCTGTGCAAAAACAGTACAGTGTATTGTCAGGCAATATATAACTCTGTTCTTTAGCAGTGAGTATTCATTAGAAGTAACTATTTAAGAAATGCAAATATAAATACATATTGTACTTAATGAGTCAGCCTAAGCATGTATGGTCCTTTGAACGAGCTAACCAACCCCTGAACTGTGAGTACTGTGGATAATGTGCAGTGAATTGAACCCATAGAGGTAAAATGTTGCTCAATCATAGTAGACCTGTTAGATCCTGCAGAAATCTTTCTCTTAGCTACACTATGTATTGGTGCTTTTTGTCATAATGTACAGTTATGAAATGTGAAGCACCATATTTTAATCTAGATGCATCTCCCCTTAGTTGTGATTCTGGGGTAAGAGTTACGCAATTATTGTACTTGAAATGTGTTTTTAGGAAAAAATTAATTTTGTGTAGATTGTATATTTAATGTTAACTGATTTTTGTGAAGAGAAATAAATGTCCTAGTTTTACAGTAACAGACTATTTAAAATGTAGGTATATAAAAAATATTTGCCTATTTATATCCAGAAAATTTACTGTGTTACAGAGGTGTCTAGTATTTTCTTCCATTTGTATGTAATGTATCTTTATTTATATAACACAATATCAAATGAGTTCTAAATGATGTTTATGGTATTTTAGTGTAAATGTGAGCCAAAGAATACTGCAAAATAATGGTGGACAATAGCATTTATATTTACTCTGAATTATTTATGCAGCTTTTAAAGTAACAAGTGAATTATATTGCTGCACTTATTGAATAATATGTAAAACAAAATATTATATAAATATTAAAGCACCCTTCACTTTACTGTAGTTTATAGCTTTACTCACAAAAATTGACTTTCTGAATTTTCAGGTTTATTAACTACAGTTAATCAGTTCACTGTACTACATCCATCAGTTTCTGTTTTTAAATAAGGCAGAAAATGTGGTCGCAATTCTTTCAGTTGAATAAAGGTTGACAGAGGGATCAACAGGGGAAAAATATACTGCAGCATTATAAATCCTTATCTTTAATCATATTTTTGTGATTTGATGGCAACACCTTTTTCTGTTTAGCTGTTTCGTAAGAGCGAGAGCTGAAACAGATTAGTCCAATTTTAACATTCAATAAAGTCAAAAACTTGGAATCGTATGAAAGTGGTGGAATTCATATTTCTCTTGTAAGGAGCTGAGTTGAGTTTCTCATTTATTGATTTCTATGAGGAATTTTAATGGTTTTCAATCTGGATCTCAGTTCTGTTGGGTTTTAGCTGATATGAAACGAAGACAACTTGCTCAATTTTGAATTCAAAACCCAAAACATTTTTTTGAAATGGTGTTATCCGTATGTAATAAATCTCCTACCTACCTGTAGTGTAAAATAAAGAATAAAGTGGGAAAAATATTTACCAAATATTGCTATTTGTTTTTAATGTGTGTATTGTTACCGAGGCCTTACTGTGTGAATATATATTTAGGGGAACATTTAGGCAAAATTGTATCAGCTCACTTGGAGAAATATTTGTCTAGCCCTGCAAAGCTTTACCAGCAGCTTTAGTGCTAATAAATTTAAACAATTCTTTGATTTTTTTTCCCCCCGAACACATTTTGTTTTCTTCACTATAGGGACCTGAGCACATTCAATTTGTTTCATTTGAGTGCAAAGAAAAAAAGTCACAGAAGTCAGTCAATGTACATTTTACTAAATAAAATTGCTCAATTGCTTTCATAAGACAAAAAAAATAATGTTAGAGCTTAATCATTCCAATATTGAAGAAAGAGCAAAACTAGTCTGTATCCTCGTGCTTCAATCCCCAAAGATTTACCTGACGACTCTCAGAACTTCTGCTGTACCCACCCATCGTGCAATAACCAATCTTTTGAAAAGTTACTGTAGAAAGCTGCAAACAGTAGCAATATTGACCAAATCAAAACTGTATTTACTTTTAAAATAGCAGCCAAGAAGTCGTTAGGAGTTGGTCTTTCAATCGCAAGTTTAGATCGCAAACTAATTACAGTTTCGTCTTAAATGCTGTTATGCCGTTTGAATTCCTCGATTGTCCTGCAACGCAGAGTGATTCGGGGGTTAATTCCTGTGCTTTGTAAAAGCCAACCTGGGAAGGCCACTCGTTCTGGACGACGTTTCTGCATGACTGTACATCTCATTTGGAAGCAGGTGTTTCAGACTGCAGAGGTAATTGAAATACAATGAGCCTATCATTGGCGAACCACATTCATCATATAAACCATCTGTCGTGATGACTTGATGTTATCTGTAATCAGCTTGAGGTTCTGTATACAAACAAACAAACCTACTATTGACCCTTTCCCTTTTATATGATGAACTGAGACAAGTTGATTAACCTCAGGGATATTCCCTTTTTCTGCATTGTTACAAAACACAAAAATGAATGCCTCTAAGTGAGTGCTCGAATTTAATTTTAGCAGATATCAATACAGCGTTTGAAGTTGCTTCCAGTTTGGTCTTTTTTGGCTTAAAAATTATAAATATAATTTTCTCATTAAAAAGTAACCCTAAAATCACCTTTGTCCACCAACAGATATCAAGTTTTACAATTTTTACAAATATATTAAGTTATTCAGCAATTATAGCAAAAATGCCATCAACATAGTAAAAATAGCGCATTTTTTACAATATAGCTTGCAATACAAAGTCCTTTGGAATCACTTTAAATATGTTGTATATAATAATAATAGTAATAAGCCTTGCATTTGATCTCGTGTCTTGTCATGTCTTTGAGACATCTCAAAGAGTTTCACAGAATATGCTGTAAAGTATATTTTCCTGGTGAAACACGGCAGCCAATTGCACACATCAGTGTCCCACAAACAGTCATGGATTGAGTGTCCAAATTATTATATTTTTATTCTCTATTTGGACCTTTTTTAAAAAAAGGTATCACTTGTTTGTTTTCTCTTAGCTTTGTTCAGAAGTCGGACCTATTTTTTCAGGAACATTTTCCTTCCAATTCTTTTCCCTCGCCTCCTCGCTTGAAGATGTCCTCGGTGAGGTACAGTCCCACAGGCACTGGTTCCTGTCAGGCATCCTTTATTAATGTGTGAACCTCGGCAGCAAGCATTAACAGTCTATCAACACTGCAAAGGGGATCCCAGGCAAACCTGGTTCTCCTCCCATTCGATGTCCACACGTGCAGACCTTCCACCAGAGGTTTCCTGATAGAAGTCGAGAGCAGGAACGCCTCACTGTTTTTCCCTGCCTAACCCAAGAGGTCAACTGTAGGGTCCCTTTTGAGATCAACTGTTCAGCATGGCTTGTGTATCAAAACTGCCATCTTGTTTTGCCCACAAAATACAATCAATTCACTTTACAGTTCATTCTGTGAAGTACTTTGAGATATCTCGACGTGATAAGGAGCTATATCAATTACACGGCTGCTTATTATTATGATTATTATTATTATTGTGATCTGTATGCTGTAGTCATATCCACTGGAGCATCAGGAAGCCCATAAACCATTATATTTAATGACATAATTTTTTAGATTGTTTTAGATTTTAGATAATTTTAGATCAAATGCACATTTGCAATAGCCAAACTGATTCTAAAGAGGTTGGTTCTTTTCAAATATTATGCCTATACTGTATAAGTGTTTAATGTAAAGACTTTCAGGTAAGTTCCAGATATCAAATAACAAAGAATAATATTAAAAAATTCAATAAGTACAGCAGTACCTGCAATGGGTACAGCTAATATATATATATATATATGATATATATACATACACCCTGCTTACATGCAGGTCATAATCTCACTTGTGCTATTACTCAAACCTGTTTAATTCTGCCAAGAATTTAAAATTAAAGTTTCAGCTTGAGATCAGTTCACTTCACATCTGTTTATCTGCCTATGTTTCCAAGTTAAGACTTGTTCCATTACGGTTGGCTTGACAGAGAGTTGAAATGCTTTGAAGAACTTTTATAGAAGCACAGCTATTACTTCTCCCGGTTTCAGAAAGATTATAGAACATCATCTCAATGTATAAATTAGGACCTTAAGTCCCTTTGATCCCCGAGAGCCTGTGGATTCCAGGATAATAATATAATAATAATAATAATCCTTGCATTTGATATAGCACTTTATCACATCTTCAAGACATCTCAAAGCGCTTCACAGAATATAATGCAAAGTGAATTAACTCTGTACTTTGTGGGCGAAACGCAGCAGCCAATTGCGCACAGCAGTGTCCCACAAACAGTCGTGTATTGAGTGCCATAATAATATTATTTTTTTGAAGGGATTATTGCCCCTGGACAAGCGATCCACCAATTGGTTTCACAGTTTGTGCCTGTGGCTCACAAGCTAGAGCCCTGCACAGCAGAGGTGACAAAAGACATTTATATATTATTTCTGCTCCAGTGCTGTGCCATCAAATGAAAGAGTCTAGTCACACGTGTCAAACATTTAATGCAAAGTAGGAGCAAGGGGACATGTACTCCCATCTCAGAAGGAGGGAGGGTGACAGACAGTTTAGATTGTGGTAAATATATGATATAGACTTGGGAGGCAGATTGTGTCTGCAAATCCAAGAGAAGATTAAGCAGCTTTTTGGTGGGTGGAAATTAATTGAAGGGTATGGAACATGCATTTTATAATTTACCTTTTGTTATTTTATTCTCAGTTTTACTCTCAAACCGGTTAGGTGAACAATGACTGTTCCATCCCTGTGTTTCGTATGTTCCTAATCACCCTGTAACTAAACCAATTAGATGTTTCTTGATTTCTGAAAGAGTACTTTCTTTGGTATGGATGCCAGCACTAATTTAGTAATCAATGTTTAAAGGCCTAACTACAAGGTGACCAAAAAGTTATGATACCTACCCTATTATCTAAAAATAAAACAGAAATATTGTTATTTCTTATCAGAGTTATTGCCTCAGTATCAAGACTTTTTGGTCACCCTGTATAATTACAATCTACCACATCAGGGGGTTTCCAGCTAAAACAGAGCCTATCTAAATTCACTGAATTGCACCTCTCCATCCTCCATCCTCCCACACCCAAAGTGGCTTCGCGACTTAGAAAATAGTTCTGTTGCTTGCTCTCACTTGACACTCTTTGTGCATGGTTTGCAGAAGAAATGCTGCAAGTGATTTCTCTTTGTATAGCCTTTGGCATCACAACCGACTGTCTACCATTGTTTTCCTGTCCGTTAAGCTTGTCCGATGACCTATTTTCCTTCTTCCTACTGTACTGACTCCGTTTAATCCCTTTCTGTTTTATTTCTTCTTGTAATTTATCCCCGTGTCTTTATACCTCGGATCTGCCTTGGTTCGCTTTTTCACTGCTGTGAGAGATGCTCGCAAAGCTTTGTCAAAGTCCACTTAACTCGTTTGTGAGGTAGTATCCTGGCAGGGCAACTCTGTTTTCTTCTCGTCCTCGCTCAGTAAGATGATGCTGCAGCCTCTGTTATTGCTTTCAATGTCCCTCTATGTCTCAGGTTGAAAAATGATTGGAATATGGTATTCAACCTATAGCTTGTTTTACTACATGATACTGCACATTAGTGAGCAAAGGAATCAGTGAGCCAAGTTAACATTCAAATCGAAACATCATCACAAGCAATTTGCTAGCGATGAAAAACTTTCTCAAATAATTAACAACTAAAAGCAACTTGGATTTATAAAGTGCACTTCACACAAGGGGCTGTCTCCGAGCTTATTATTTAAAATGCACAATAAAAACATACTCAAAATTTCCTTTTGTAGCAGTAGGAAATTCCAATCACCTGTTTAGCATAGATAAGCACGCTACACTTTTGAGATTTCTAAAGACTTTCAGTAAACGTATGGAACAGGCTCCCTTGGGAGATGGTGGAAACAGAAAGTGTTGATTCTTTGAAGAACAAATGAATTAGATTTCTGACACAAAACAACAATATCTCGGGATACAATATATTGTGTGGGACACAACACGTTAAGCAACTGCCAGGATGGCGGAAGGTGAACTGGATGGACCTCTGTCTTCTTTGGTCTAACAGTTCTTATGCTCATATGCTCTTATTTAGATCCAGCCACCTGTTCCATATAAATTGTTGGCCAGGGACTCCAGAGTACCGCTACCCTCACTAACATCAGGAAGTACCTTGGTACTTGGTAACACAGTCCAGACCTGAGAATGGCTTGCGGGCAGAAGCTTAAATCTATCAGTAGAACTCACTGCTTTTGTAATTCGGTGACCAGATTAAGGCATAAGATAAAGCATGGATCAATCAGAGAAGCAAGTAACTGGAATATAAGAGTATAATATTGGGTTGAAAGGGGCTTCTGATCCTGGCTTCTGCCACAGCACCGGATGGATCTCATTAATCTCATTGACAGAGAGCAATGCCAGGAGATTTAAACCTATGAAAGTAATTTCTGCAGAAACATTTATGGTCTCTCCTCCCTTCTCTTTCAGCACACTACCTCCGAATTGTTGGTTGTGGGTTTGATTCCCGCTGTCTGCTCACCTCCTTCCCATGATGCTTAATTTTTCCAAGTTCAATACTCTCGAACATATCCTTTTGATTATAGCTGTGTTATTCTGTCTGTACAAACCTCTCTGTTTGATCCATTCAGCTCTATTCAACTACATTTCATCTCCAGAATAGTTACATTTGGCTGCCACTAATTTCTTCTTCGCTGAAGATCTTCTTCTGCAAAAACAGCCATCAGCTTAGACTCAGACCAAACCCTTTGGTCTCCCCAAAATTCAATTGGCTGCCGCGTTTCGCCCACAAAACACACAGTCAATTCACTTTGCAATATATTTTGTGAAGTGCTTTGATACGTCTCAACGATGCGATAAGGCGATATGTCAAATGCAAGGATTATTATTAGAAGTTTATTTTTTTAATCAACGTGTGACTTTGCTGGGTAAAACACAGTGAGGATTGTTCCCATTTTATTTTCTGTTACGTTAAGTTTGTTTCAAGGCATGAAATGATTTTGGTGGATGAAAGCGCTACAATCTACAGGCTTTAAATTAGAGATTAAACTCCTGTGGTAGAATTAAACAACCCCATTATAATGATTTTTAATTGTGTCTCACAGGTCCATTCTTAAACCTGAAATAAATGACCATTTAATAAGTAAAATACAGCACTATGTCATGTTGCAATCCAAGTGACATGGACCCCTTTCTCTTTACTGTAGAGCTTGAGTTATGAGCCTCTCATGCACGTGTTAGTGTGTTAAGAATCTCCAGCATGCACTGGGCGTTATTTGTCCCAGTTTATTATGAGATTTTCCGTTATAAGAAATAAATCGCTGACATTATTTCATTGTGACCATAGCAACACGTTACAGTCAAAAACTACCAAGGTATTTATAATAATAATAATAATAATCCTTGCATTTGATACAGCGCTTTTCACGTCGGGAGGACGTCCCAAAGCGCTTCACAGAACACACTGTAAAGTGAATTGACTGTATATTTGTGGGCGAACGCGGCAGCCAATTGCGCACAGCAATGTCCCACAAACAGTCGTAGATTGAAAATGACCAATTTATTATTGTTTTTGGTTTTTGGAGGGATTATTATTAGGCGTTTGGAGTAAGGAAACTTGCCCAAGGTTTCGCCCTCTGCCTGGAATTGAACTCAGGTCTCTCGCTTGCAAAGCGAGTGCTCTAACCACTGAGCTACAGGACTCCACAATTTACAATTTCTTCAGACTGCATAGCAACATCAGTTTTGAGAACAGACTATTCTTTTCTTTGAAGTGAATCGTAATGCTGTCTGAGTGACATAAACTCATACCCTGAAAAGAAATGAACATCCGTTAGGACACGTTGATACACCCATTCCAGTTATATGGACCTTGGAACCTTTTTATTCAGAAAACAGGATGTTGTGGAGCAATTTTGGTCATGTACAGCCGTCCTGTTATAAATAATTGTTCTTGAAAACTTCTTACATGTTATTACCTTAGCGCCTTGGGACGTCCTCCTGACGTGAAAGGCGCTTTATAAATGGAATCTTGTTGTTGTTGTACCTTAAGCAAGTTTCCCTAATCCACACACACACACGCCTCTGTTTTCCCAACAGTAAGTAGGAACTCTCTTGTTAGTCAATTGGTGGATCGCTTTTCTGGGCGTAATAAACCCTTCAAAAAAACAAAAAACAATAATAATTTGATCACTCAGTCCATGTCTGTTTTTGGGACACTGCTGTGTGCAATTGGCTGCCATGTTCCGTCCACAAAACATACAGTCACCACACTTTACAGTGTATCCTGTGAAGCGCTTTGAGATGTCTCAACAACAATATCAGGCGCTGTATCAAATGCAAGGATTATTATTATTAATTCTGTACTGCAATTATTCTTCTGCTACTGGATCTCAGTAGCAGATGAATGTACTGCTGCTACACTATATCTCAGCTAAGGTTAGACCATTGGAAGCGGCCGCTGATGATATACAGTAAAGTAGTAAGCGTATGATTACAGAAAATGAAACAGTACAGTAGTAGCTCACAAATGGGAACATGCTTCCTATTTCTCTCTATTGCAGTAGATTATTACACTGAAGTGTTGTGCACTGGGCTGTTGACACTTTGTGAACAGCGGGATAGCTTAGCACGAGTACTGATAATAATACCAATCCTTGCATTTGATATAGTGCCTTATCACATCATTGAGACGTCTCAAAGTGCTTCACACAATATAGTGTAAAGTTTAGTAACTGTTTATTCTGTGGGCAAAACGTGGTAATCAACTTAACCATTTATATAACTGATCCTGTACTGTGGATTTTTACATTTGGGTAAATTATTTCAAACCAGGATTTTTCTACTTTCGTTTGTTCTTTTTTAGAAATGCCATTTTTAAAAAAAAAACTATTTTGTTTAATATTATGTTGCTAATTTTGTTGGCTCGACTTTCTGAATCCCTTGGTTAATAAAGACTAAAATAAATGATCAACATTGGACCGATTCGAAGAAAACCTTAAAAATCTAAAAATGGTACGTATTGTGCACATCCTGTGGTTCTGACCAGAATTAGATCAAAATGTGGTTTGTGGATGGGAGCATTTTAGACTTGTTTTCTACCTAGGACGATTTTGATTCGATGTTCTCATCAGACTAGCCACCAGTGGTTACCTTTAGCAAATAAATACAAAGAATCTGAACCATATCTAACACAGAGTTTGGTGGCTGGCAGTGAAGACCTGGTGGGGAATTAGATTGGAGGTAAATAAGGTACAGTGTTTTATACACAACTGTATAGTTAATATCTGGTAAGTATTCAATGTTAAAATTATGTAATAATATGCTTTATTGATCTGGTCGCTATTAAACAAAAATTTATACTCCATTGTTCCCGTCGGTAAACAGTCGGTTGACCAAGTTGAGTAGTTCATTGCATCGAGAGTGAACAAAACTGTTTTGCAGTAAAGTAGCACTAAATACAGAGTTGAAATTAATCTACAAATCACAAAATACTGCAGATGCTGAAATCTGAAACAAAAACAGAGAGGTCAGACCTGCTGAGTTTTCCTAGCCCTCTCTGTGGTTAAAATTAATCTACACAGAACAGCTGTTTCTGTCGTTGCGAATTAAATGTCCCTTTTTTNGTAAACACCAAAATGATCATATTTGAAAAATATTATGAAACTTCAGCATAAACTGTGGCTTTAGCTATATCTTAAAGCCCAATGTTTGAGAGAATATTTGCAATAAACAAAAATCCATGTCATCACCTTTGAAGGTTGGAATGAACTGAGCCAATTTGGAATAACAGAGTATTTAGGTTTGCAGAACTAGCTATAAGTGTTGACCTAAATTTTCTCAGCGTATGCTTTACAGGACTGTGGTGGTTGTTGCAATGACAAATCCATCCAAGTCTTTGTTCAATTTACTTAGCAGGACACTTGGCTACAATGGAGAAAGATAACCCACTCCTCGCCTACTTCAATGATTTTGATGGTGACACAGGCTGTAGGTTGAAGAGTTCGGAAAATCTTCCTTCAAGTGAATTGGTCCAGGAGATAAGGAGTCCTAGATGCCGTCAAAAAGTTGTCAGAAATATGGTCAACTGTGAATATACAGTGAAGTTGAATAAACTCTGGGAAGACAAAAGTAATCAGCATTACAAAGTATCAATGAATGAAGTAAGTACTGTACAATTCTAACCAGCTGTATATATGTTGCTGAACACAGAAACATAGCTGGTATATATATATAGATATATATGAGCAATGTTTTTATATTTTGGGGACTGCACAAATGGTGACAATAGCGGCTTGTCACACTCTAATTGACAATACAATACTGGCAAATGCTTACTACTGTTTACAATCGGCACATGTGTAACTCAGATGTAATATTATTTATAGTGTTTAGGGTGTTAGCGTGTTGGCTCATGTCTGTGCATCCTTCACACACTACAAATAATGGGAACCACAAGTGTCTATATGTCTTTAATCATGATTAAGATACTTTTACTTTGGCACAGTGGTGCTCTGGTGAAATAAAGGCACTTTGTTGGTTAGTACAAGTAAAATCCTGCACTTAATTCACCCCTTTTATACCAAATACGAAAGGAATGCTGACTAAAAAAACTGTAGTCGGACTAAAAAGCTAAACGCTGGGATTTACAGTTAAGTGTGGGGTCCCTCCATTAGTTAGACAAAGTCACAAATTGCATGTGACCGTTAAAGGTGCGTCGTTTTTCTTAATTTTGGGGGTTTTAGTGATGGAAAAAAGATAGTTAGCTCACACTATGGCAATTTAGTACTAATTAGCAGCTCACTCTGAAAGGCTACAGGATGTGTGTGGTCTGAGAAATGGAAATGTCACATCTAGAATCTGAATACATTTCTGAGGTTCAGACTGTACTATATATAATGCGTAGTAATAACACTATTAACACCTCTTCTCCCCAGTTTTCTGAACCCAACCTCAGTTTCTCAACCCAACCCACCCTTTTGTTTTACGCCACTATCACCTTTTTAAACCATCAACTAACACATTCTCCCATTTGTTTTTTTTTTGACTTCTTTGCTTCCTTGTCCTGCCTCTCGCTCTGAACTTGTCCTTAAAAACCTCTCCCTCCCAAAGTGCCCCAGTTCTGACGAAGAGTTGTGGACCCGAAACGTTGACACACTTTCCTTTCTCCATAGATGCTGCCTGACCTGCTGAGTGTTCCCGGCTCTCTCTATTTCTCTTATACTATATATAACATCGGGTATATCTGACCACATGTGTGTTAACCGTTGGCAATGAATACTGAATAGCCAAACTGGTCAGTTCCCCATGCCTCGATGAACACCAAAATATATTTTTTAATTTTCACTCGCTTAGAATAATCTTAAATCACATGGAACCATCACACATAAATTGACCTTCCACTGTTTGAGGCAACAGAGCTCAAGCTCTCCCAAATATGCACTGAAAACAATTTCCCCCCCAATTCTCTTAACCTTCTACAACTGAAGTATTAAAAAAATCTGTGTTGTAAAAATAGCTATTAGATTTTCTATAATGTTTGTTGAGTTGTCACACACTGTGCAGGTTTTTTAGCTGGAGCAATTGAGCTTACAGGACTTTAAGGCAACGTGAATATAAAATGAAGATTTATTTCCATTTCACTTTCTTAAAATTATTCCCTGTTGTCTTGAGTCAATTAATTAATTGGCCCGATCTAGACGATTGGCTTCCACAACCCATTCTCTGTTTGTAGCCTGCATTCAACTCGTTCATTTCACAAACCTGTGATTTCACCCACAAAATATGGAATTAATTAACTTTACAGTATATTCTTTTGAGAAATCTCGAAGCACTTTGAGAAATCTTGAAGACGTAATAAGGCATTATATCAAGTGCAAGGATTATTATTATTATTTAATTGTGGGAAATGAGACAGAATCTTAATTAATATATGCTTTATAGAAATTATTATAAAAATAATATATAACAATAAACCTTGCATTTGATAAAGCACCTTATCACTTTGTTGAGACGTCTCAAAGCGTTTCACAGAATAGACTAAAGTGAATTGACTGTGGGTGACCTTGGGACCTTTCGCTTGCGAGCTCTCTAAGCACTGCACTACAAATTATCAGGATCCTAGGTTTAGCTTCTGTAACAAGAGTTAATTGTACAGTAAAAGGTAACCTGAAATAGTGAGAGAGCTTTTAATTAACTGATTGCATGAATCAGCCACTCAAAGGATAAAGATCCCTGAGCCATTGGGCAGTGTCCCTCAAGTAAACGGTTTATCTGTTGGAAGCTTTATCTCTATGAATTGAATTATGTTGAATTTAAGCCTAAAGTATTAACACAATTTTTTTGAAAAAAAATGCTTGCAATGAAGCAAGTAATCTGTCATCGATTGCTAAAAGGGAATTGTTTTTGGGTTGAGGTGTAATTGAGTAGTGATCCATTTTATTAATTTACTCTATTTTTTTCCCTTAGCGCCTGATCCAGCTGATTGGCAGTTACAAAGAGGGCGAAGACTGGCTAAACCTATGTCCTCTTGGATGTGGGAAATTTGGAGATGTCACTCTTGTGTACGATAAGAAAAGGAAATGTGTCTGTGCTACAAAAAAGGTATTACCTAGAAGCAAATTACGTTGGACCATATTGTCAGAAAAGTTATTATCCCATCACTCCATAGCACTTGAACTATGTTGAGATCACTTACCATACTCTGCATCTTGACTTGTGACATAAAAAGTAAAACTTGCATAAGTCTTAACTGTATAAATCATATAACCGCCTATAAATTTATACATCTGCCCAAGTCCCGTTCAAAAGTTTGTATTCTACGCAAGTTTGACATAATTCATACTTTTCGTAAGTCATATTAAATGTATGGTCAGAACTGATACAACTTATGTGAGGTTTACTGTATACTGTAGAAAACTCAGGGAATATCCTGAGCAGGGTTTAATGTTATCAGTCTGTCTTAAGTCGATTCTTATTGTATTGGTAAAGTTTTTACAATTGGGATAGAATTTGTTTTCAAAAAATATGGTAGCATTGGCATGTTTTTTGTTTGAACGCAAAATGTAAGAGCTTCTGAATGATGACCGTTTTGTCAATTTTCCATGCATTCTTAGGTCTCCAAGGAATACTATAGACAGGAAGAGTTTGAGATCTGGAGAAATCTAAATGCACTTCACATTGTTCAGCTGTTTGGAGCTGTTTGCCACGAAGACTCTGTGACATTCTTTATGGAGCTAGTGAATGGTAACTGTTAATTATACCTAACCTATAAGGAAGAGGATAATGCACAGCACTGAACAGAGGATGAAGCTGAATAGCTTGCTCCTATGCTGTAATTTCCACGATTTTTACACTAAAGTGCAGGGAATTTTCCATCAAAGGTCATTAATTTGCATTAGTATCCACATTTTATAATTGTGCATTCTTACATGGATGGAGTCAAAAAGAATCAGTTCATGCTATAACTAGAATGCAGATTGTTAACAAGGCCAATGTTTTATACAAATGTCAATTTTTTAATGGAAAAATCTGAATCTATTATGTTTCTGAGAGTTTAACTATTCATCCATCATCTCCTTTGTGTTTGGATTGCCTTTTAATTAGTGTTAAATTGTACATTTTTCTCCCGTTCTCTCTGTGTAGGTGGAACTTTAGGTGAGCTCATCAAAAGAAAAGTTTGGCTCTGTCATACTTTAGCCATAAAGTATTTCAGCATGATTCTCAATGCCTTGGACTATTTATACAGATGCAACATCATCCACAATGATGTGAAAGGTACAGGACTTCTGCTATAGTTTTACGACAAGTGTTCGGCATTAAAATAGAAATAAATTCATCTATCCCCATTTCAACTAATTATTACAATGTTTATGGCATTTATATTTCTGAGATGTTAGCGGTTTAGTTTTCTAATGGGTGAGCTGTATGACAAATGAAAACCGTTGATGATCACATCCCTATTTTTTACCATTACACAAAGGAGGGACATCAGATGGCAACCCCCGAGTTAGCCCCATGATAATGGCTCCTCAGGTAGCAAGTCCCAATTTGACCATAAACAAAACATAAAATACTGCAGATGCTGGAAATCTGAAAACAAAAACAGAAGTCGCTGGGAACACTCAGCAGGTCAGGCAGCATCTATGGAGAGAGGAAAGTGAGTCAACGTTTCGGGTCTATGACCCTTTGTCAGAACTGAGGCAAATTGGGAGGGAGAGGCTTCTAAGGCTAACGGAGAGGGAAGGAAAATAAAGGAGAAAATGGGGTAGAGGTCAGGGATGATGGGTTAAAGAGGTGTTAATGGGGGGATTGCAACAAAGCAGGGGAGTAGAGGTGTTAATACTGCAGAACAAAAGGGGGTGGGGGGGGGGGGGGAAGAACTTGCCAAACAACAGGCAGATCAGGGAGAGAAGATGTGTGTCTGGGACCAAGATGATGTGGTAATGGTCACAGAAGAGGGGCAGGGGGGAGATGATCTGTTATGGTCCGAAATTATTGAAATCAATATTGAGACCAGAGGGCTGTAAGGTTCTCTGTAGCCTACCCCATTTTCTCCTTTGTCTTCCTTGCCCTGCTTCCCCATTCTCTTTTAAGCCCTTAAAAGTCTCTCCCTCCCAACGTGCCCCAATTCTGACGAAGGGTCGTGGATCCAAAACGTTGACTCACTTTCCTTTCTCCATAGATGCTGCCTGACCTGCTGAGTGTTCCCAGCGACTTCTGTTTTTGTTTCCCAATTTGACCATTCCTAGTTACCTCCAACAATAGAACTCAAGTACATTGTGAACAACACATCATGAGGATGAAATAATTTGCTTAAAATAATTTGCCCTAAATTTGACACTGAGTACTAGAATATCATACCAATAAAGAACCTCGTAACTGTTGTTAATCGCTTTCTGTTTGAATTCCTCAAGGTGACAACATTCTTCTTTCTGACACTGATCAGCGCCTTCTGCTGTGTGACTTTACGTTTGCTAAAAAGCTATTACCTGGACAGCTTACACCGGAAGGTAAAATATTTTATAATTATCCTGGCAACATGGTTACTGTTTTTCCTACTTACGACTCTGCAATATCATCTAGGTGGTTTGACAGGTTATAGTACTTGTGATCAATCAGATCCAGGTTTCTGATGGTGATTTGGACAAACCCTCATTATCCTCTCCCGGCATTGTCAAGAGAGCAAATATTTGGGTCAGTATAAAACTGCTCAGCCAAGGTCAGTGGCTTCCATGGAGTCCATGTTTGTATATCACAATCCCTGCTAAATGATACCACATTGACATTTTGGGTTTGGGAACCATGTGAACCCATACCCTAAAGACTTCTCGGACTTGATATCTTTCCTGATCCACGTTTTATTTCTTTAGGAGAACCTCCTGCAGGAACACAAACACATATGGCTCCTGAGGTAGTTCGAAGCACTGGACATGACTATAGAGCAGACGTTTGGAGTGCAACCTGTACCCTTCTACACATGATTAATGGAAGGCAACCATGGTTGAAGAAGTTTGGGAACAAACGCTGTTTGTACTTTGTGGTAAGTACAATGGCTAAGTACCGTATTTAAAATGAAACTCTATGAAACGGCTCAGGAACCTTAAATGCCGGTTAACATATGGCTAATCTGTGTGAGAAAGCAGAACTAAGTCATGGTGAAAAACTGTAAAGTAACAAAGCAGGAAAGTCTAACTGGTATTATTTCTGCAAGTTGCTTTTCATGTCACGGTATGATCCAGCCACATGAAGTGTCCTGTCCAGGAGGAAGGGTCTGGCTGAGATCAGAGCTAAGGCTGAGATCCAAATTCACAAGCCTCTGCAATGGGAGTCTTAATTTTCAACCCCTTAAGCAACCATATCTACCCTTTTGGAAAGAGAATTTAACTTTATAGACCTCTTCCAATTTGCAGGTCATTTTTAATGAGCATTTCGTCCATAAAATATAAATACGGAGTCAATTCACTCTGCAGTATATTCTCTGAAGTGCTTTGAGATGTTTCGAAGACGTGATAAGGCGCTGCATCAAAGGCAAGGATTATTATTTATTGTTATTATTAATCAGCTGCTTCAATTTAATTTTAAATTGACTTATTAGCCGTCCATTTGCAACTCCTCCGCATGTGAATTTTAATCAGTCAGCTGTTTCAGCTATGAAATGATGTTTTGCTGCCAAGCTCTGATTTTGTTACCGTTACAGGTCATGTCAAAACCCTGTTTTATTTCCTTCTTTAGATTGCAGACAAGAGTCCACCATACTTTGAGATCCCCTCAACTTGCCACATTTTGGTAGACCATCTCATTAAGCAGGGCTTGATCGTGGATAAGTACAAACGGCCGTTTGCAAGGGACTTGCGAGAAGAAGCTGATTTAGTCTTGGCTGAGAGTAAGAAACCACACATTAAAGCTGTGATACCCATTTTCATTGATTCATCAGATTTTTAGTACCATCATTATAGAAGCCATCTATTACAGTTTAGCTGTTTCTATACAGATTAGACTTGCACAGCAGCATGACAGCAAAGTGTCACAGAGCAGCAGATGGTATGATACGGGCTTGTAATCACAGTTCTTCATATTATCCATTCCCAGTCTCAGGAGGCACTAAAGTGAAGAAAATTCCAGAAGAAAGGAGATAAAACTGAAGAGCGAGAGAGTCACCCTAGACGATTTGTATTATTAGCCAGTTATAACATTAACAATGTCCTTACACCTTCCTAATCAATTGATACCCAAGAAACTTAGAAGCAAAATGGTAATGCAATATCAACAATTTATAACAAGAATAAATTATCCTGTTTGACAGCCTATTTATAAATATTCTGAAACTTTAAAATGACATTTCAATGGCTCCAATTAGGAATCTAAGTTCAGTTGCCACTTATCCAAATGTACACTGGTGACAACATTAGAGATGCCTCGGATGGAGATTTGAAACAAAAAGGACAGAGATAAAGTCACAGATGGATGTGACAGAGTTGAGAAAATTCAGCAAAATTCAAACTGAACAAATCAAAGAGAGAAACCGAAGAAAACTGGGAGAGAAGGTAGAGAAAAATGTTGGAGGAAATAAAGAAAAAGAATGTGGGAGAAAAATGGAAAGGAAAAGAAACCCATAACTACAAAACAAAAGACTTTGAAAACTGAATTTATCATTTTGCCAATTTCTGAACACTCTGAAATAAATATAGTAAATTAAATCTACCTGCAAATCTAAAAGAAAATGGCAAATAAGTAATGGAGTTACGTAAATGATATGAAATAGTAGTAGAAATTAAGTGTACATTTTGTTTTCAATACATAAATGAACATACCAGCATTATCTCACTACAGGCTGATTCTGGTTTATCTTATTATTGTAATAATAATATAACGATTATTGTAAAAATATTTGGTTGAATATTTTCAACAGATTTTGTTCAAGAATTACGTGAAAATAGAAATTGCAGATTATATAATTTGATATTCAGGGTGATCTATCCAAGCAAATAATTCAGCTAAACAATACATTATTTTGGCTTGTTCTTACCAGTTACAGGTCTTCAACACATATTTGGGGAGCAATACGCTGAAGTGAACACAAAACCATGCCCTGAAAATCTTTGGGAGACTTTGGAATACTCTACCAATACTACTGGAATTTTTGAAGTGTCGATTCCAGCATATGATCCCGCTTCTGAATGTGAAAAGAAAACACAAACTCCAGAAAATCTAACCGGTAAACAGCCGCCACAGCAAACAGGAGAAAATATAGAGAAGAATCCCCAAAATATCAGGGATATTGTCATCTCAACCAAGTTCCCTGCTTTCGCTGCTGACAGTAAAACTCAAAGTTTGGCGTTAGAGATGAAGGAACTCAATGACAGTATTCAATATTTGTTGCCAGTAAATTTCAAGGAGGAGAAACCAATTGAATCCAAAAGCACTGAAATACTACCATCATCTCAAAGAGATCAAGATCTTGAGCAGTTACTCACAGGTATCTGAGTGTACAGTACATACACAAATCCTTTAGTGGTAATCTACTTGATCATTTTCGCAGATAACTTAAGCATGTTGACACTTGCTTCGATGCTCTGAAAATGCTACATAAATAAGCAACTGTCATTCCCTATATATTGTATTTGCTCTTTGTGCTTATGCTATTCCCGAAAGATATTTTAATCTCGATGAAACGTTAGTGAGGAACAAAGACCTCATAAGAGGGAAGAAATGTTTGGCGTTTGTCCCTTCCAGTCTCAATTTTGCCCCCTGTATGGCTGGTAATAATGATGCATATATCATAATACATAATGAATCATACTGGAGAATTGAATAATGGCACCTAAATTCTGATTGGGTGCCTTAAATTTCTGGCACATAATAATTTAAGACATATATTAGTAGGTAATTCTCCCTTCACACTTGAATGGTACCAATGGCTTTACTGCTGTCAAGGACTAAAGGCGATTGAGGCTACAAATTGGATTAGAACTCATGGGATTATAGCCTTGCCTTTGTTTTGTTATTTTTTAAATTGCAGCTAATCATGGACATGAATCTTCAGAATCCATCTGAATGGTCTTTACTCCTGATTTTATGATTAATAAAATGGCAATAGCAATTACTTCTCACTTCAGATTTCAAACCTCATTCCTACACAGATGTCTGCAGGATGATGCGCTTTCCATCCACTTGTCTGACGAGATATTTTTAAGTCTCCGAGCTGGAGATAGGAATTGAGATTGATTGTGACTTAAGAGAAAGCAGATTTCAGACGGTTGATGTAACAGTAACTTCTACATTTCAGTACTTGTATTCTCCTAATAATTGTATGAATGTGAAAGTACCAAATCTGCTGACAGCTAAGTAATTGTTGTTGAGGTTGACAGCTTTCCTATTTGTCTTGAGGGTTCTTTTTAAAATGTAACAATGCACTTGATTTACTATTTTTTGTAATTCTTGTTAGCTTGACTGTACATCTCTTCACCCTATTAGGAATTTTTCACATTACTAAGCTAATGTGCAAATTCAGTACAATTGTATTATATACTTGTATCAGTACAACAAAGGATTATATTTACTTTTTATCATTTTATTTACCTGTACTGCCACATTAATGCCCTATGTTTCTGAAAAACACGATCCCTCTGTTTCCTTTCCCTTTTTGTTTCTACTTTATACATGTGTTACTTCACATTTTTATTCCAGTCACTTTTATTCCATTTCGAAAGTGTCATTTAAAATAATCCTGTTTAAAGGCTGGAGATTAATCTTGATCCTGTCAAGTTTTCTTCTTCTTCTTTCAATTAATTGTAAAATTACTTTCATTACAGAGGTAGTTACCACAAAGGCATCGTAAAAACTCCACATCATTCACCTCCAGTTTATTGAATGACTTGGACATCTTCAGAGGTGTTCAACAACAACAACTTGCATTTATATAGCACCCTACACGCCGGGCTGAGTCTCGGAGCACTTAGCTCCGCTCAGCCGAAGAAGCCTGATTCCACATGGATTCTAATTGAAAATGATCCAGTCACGTGTTACTTTTGCCCATGTTCTTGTTTTTCCTTTCAATTACTTAAATGTAAAGAACTTGCATTTTATAGCACCTATATATCAACGTATCTCAAAAGCGCTTTGCCATAATGATGCCACGTGTAGTGACTATGCACGTCGAGCGCTCCAGCCACTGAGCTACAGGACTCCACATACGAAACTATTTGAAAGAAAGTGTTAAAGTAAAAAATCCTTCCCATTAAAATAGCTCATTGTATAATAATAATAATAATACGCCAAAATGTCTCGAAGCGCTTCAATTTTTTTCTGTAAAATGTAGTGACTGTATTTGTCGGCAAATCTTGATGCCTATTAAAAGGATTAGCGGCTTTCCTCAGTTTGTTTACTCTTGTTTTGAACGTATGTATGTACGTGTGTGTGTGTGTGTGTGTGGTGGGGTGTATGTATAGACATGTGTATCTCCATGTGTGTGGTGTGTGTGTTCATGTATGATGTGTGCGCGTGTGTGTTGGGTGGTGGGGGGGGGGGGGAAGCCTTCAGCTGCCCCTTTGGTTCTATGAATCAGACAGACAGACACCCACTCATAGTCAGTCAAACACACAGTCAGACACACACATAGAGTGCCACAAAGTGACCCACACAGTGTCACAGTGACACACAGTGACATAGTGTCACACAGTGACATACACAGTGTCACATAGTGACCCACAGTGACATACAGTGTCACACACAGTGAAATAGTGACACACAGTGACCCAGTGTCACACACAGTGACATAGTGACACACAGTGACCCATAGTGACATACAGTGTCACACAGTGACATACAGTGACACAGTGACCACAGTGGCATACAGTGTCACACAGTGACATAGTGACCCACAGTGACATAGTGTCACACAGAGTGACACACAGTGACATACACACAGTGACCCACAGTGTCACCCAGTGACACACACCCACAGTGTCACAGTGACATACAGTGACATACACACAGTGACACACCCTGACCCACAGTGACATACAGTGACATACACAGTGACCCACAGTGTCACCCACAGTGACCCACAGTGACATAGTGTCACACAGAGTGACACACAGTGACACAGTGACATACACACAGTGACCCACAGTGTCACCCACAGTGACACACAGTGACATAGTGTCACACAGAGTGACACACAGTGACACACAGTGACACACACACAGTGACACAGAGTGACACACAGTGACATACAGTGTCACCCACAGTGAGGAGGAGGAGGAGGAGGAGCTGCCGGTGGGGGGGGTCACGCGCCTGCGCAGTGCCCGGCGGCCTGACGCGCGCGCGCTCCCACAATGCCCCGCTGTAGGGCCACGTCAGCAGCCGGAGCGGGAGCGGGAGCGGGAGGTGATGGGGGCCGCGCAGAGCCTGGACATCCCGGGCGGGGGCACCGAGGGGTACCATGTCCTGCGGGTGCGTCAGTCACCGTCAGTCACCATCAGCCGCGTGTGCGTAGGCCCCCGGGGGGCGGGGGGGTGGGGTAGTGTAGGGCCGGGGCCGGGGGGCCGGGGCCGGGGGGGGCGGCCTGTACCCGGGGCCCAGGCTGTGGCTTCATGTCTCCCCGGTGTCTCTCCCCGAGGCCCGGGCACTTGTTACCGACTTCACACACACACACACACACACACACAGGCTGCTGGGAGTGATTGGGACTCTCTCTCTCTCCCTCTCCCTCCATTCCCTCTCTCCATTCCCTCTCTCTCTCCATTCCCTCTCTCTCTCTCTCCCTCTCTCCATTCCCCTCTCTCTCTCTCTCCATTCCCTCTCTCTCTCTCCTCTCTCCATTCCCTCTCTCTCTCTCTCTCTCTCCATTCCCTCTCTCTCCATTCCCTCTCTCTCTCCCTCTCTCCATTCCCTGTCTCTCTCTCTCTCCATTCCCTCTCTCCATTCCCTCTCTCTCTCTCTCTCCATTCCCTCTCTCTCCCTCTCTCCATTCCCTCTCTCTCTCTCTCTCCTCTCTCTCTCTCTCTCTCCATTCCCTCTCTCTCCCTCTCTCCATTCCCCCTCTCTCTCCCTCTCTCCATTCCCCCTCTCTCTCCCTCTCTCCATTCCCTCTCTCTCTCTCCCTCTCTCCATTCCCCTCTCTCTCTCCCTCTCTCCATTCCCTCTCTCTCTCTCCCTCTCTCCATTCCCTCTCCCTCTCTCCATTACCCCTCTCTCTCTCCCTCTCTCCATTCCCTCCCTCCATTCCCTCTCTCTCTCCCTCTCTCCATTCCCTCTCTCTCTCCCTCTCTCCATTCCCTCTCTCTCTCCCTCTCTCCATTCCCTCTCTCTCCCTCTCTCCATTCCCTCTCTCTCTCTCCCTCTCTCCATTCCCTCTCTCTCTCTCCCTCTCTCCATTCCCTCTCTCTCTCTCTCTCCCCCTCCACACCTTGTGGGTTACATTGTGGAATCAGTGTGAACCTTCAGCAGCATCTCATCTTTTTTTGTGTATATGTGGCTGTGCCCTGTACTGTAGTGACGACGATGATGATGATGATAATCCTTGCATTTGGTCTCGCGCCTCATTGGATCTTCGAGACACCCCCGAGCGCTTTGCGGAACATACTGTCTGTCCGAGCGAGTTTGACGGTATATTTTGCGGGCGGAAATGTACAGTGTAGACGACGGACGGCTGAGACTTGCTGCAGGTTTGGTCTCGTCCGTGAGAAGCTGATGGCGGCAGAAAGGGACACTCAAGTTCAAAGGCGACTGAAACCGCGCATCGATCCATTTTTAAAAATCCAGGACATTTATATTGCGTTGTATCGACTTTCTGAAGTGTGGTGACTAGTCATACAATGCAATATAAATGTGTCCAGTGTGATATCTTGTTTTGCCTTTTTAAAATCTGTTGGTGCAGCCGATTTCTGTCTCTGCCCTTGTTTGGATCAGCGAGTGAGTGCTTTCACCTGCATTGTTCCTGGTTTATTTCTCTTCATGTAGTTGCTGCAGTTTACTCTTCACCAGTAATGTGCTTCACAGAACATTGGTTATTTTCCCTTTGGTCTTTTATTTTATGTTAGTTCTGCGGTAATCTTAAGAGAAGACTTGTCTCAACACCTGTTGAGATACTTGGAATAATAGCTGACGTGCTGTATTGTTAGTCTTATGACTTTTTAAGAAGCTAGTGTGACAATTTCAATACTTGCTTATAGGACTGAAATATGGTTGTCAGTCTGGCTCAGTTGGTAGAACGCTTGCCTCAGAAGGCTGTGGGTTCAAGCTTCATGTTGGGATCTTGCAGTCCAATGCAGCGATGTGGGGATGTGTTGTATTGTGGGAGCATAGGAAGATGCAGACCTTTGTATGTGATGTTAAAGAGAGATCCTGTTTACCTCTTCAGGTGGATGTTGAATCAATTTCAAAAGGGAAGAAGTTTGACAGTACTACATTTCTGCAGGTTCAGTTGTCTAACAGATACAAGCTGCAGTGTAACTTTTGTGATTCCCAAACCTGATTTAGAAGTGATTTTTGTGCTAGCAAGTGTACATCTTGTCTGCTACTCTACCTTGGAGTGTCAAATTTGTTCATGTAGTATATGTATTAATACACTAAATCTATAACAAGGAGAGACTGATGGTTTGCACAAGATGGAACTAAATGGATGATAATTTCTATTTAATTTGCCATATAACTGACCGGAATAATGTTCTCCTTGTGGTGAAAATCTGACTAGCTCTAATCTTCCATCCTTCCCCCTTACAACGATGTAATGAAAATTGCTTATAAATAAAAAATAGTATGTCAACAATAATAATAATCATCATCTAATATCGAAGTGCTAACAGTTCATTGCTGTCAAGGGAAGTGACTATATTCTGACTCCATTATAGTGTGGTAGTTTGGGTCCCTAAAACCTGTAAGCTGCAGTTCTATCCCCTACACCATCGGGACTGCCTGATGTGAAAACTTTCTTCAACAGATGAATGAATGTCTTTCAGCATTCATTTATTCCCATATGTAGCATAGTTTTGTTTACACAGTTTTATTTTTTAGTAAGTGTCTCATTTCACCAGTATCTGGAAGAATGAAGTTAAGTTTTTGTTTGCATGAAATGGTCATTTATCAATAGAAAGTAGTGACTCTGCCCAATTGTAACTTGGTACTTATGTTGTTTGTTCACCTGTATGTATTGAAGGAATGTTGTAAAACATGTTGACAATAATGTGTTTAATGTAGACTGTGGCATAGATGTGAAACATTGACTCTTGTCTTCTGCTCTCAGGTTCAAGAAAACTCTCCTGGACACAGGGCCGGATTGGAACCCTTCTTTGATTTTGTTGTTTCCATTGGCAACACAAGATTGGTAAGTACTTTCTTGGTTTAGGATTGAACTGTGTTTATTATTAGGGCTCAGACAAATTCCTTTTATATTTCATATATTTCTATTCCTACGCATACTTTTACAATCTAATTCAGAATCTGTGTTCATCTTATGTAAAGTATGTGTTGCACTTGTGTAAAATTGTACTGGTTGAATAATTGTTGACTTACTACACAAAATGCAGTCAATTTACTTTACAATATATCACGTGAAGCACTTTGAGATGTCTCAACGATGTGAGGCGCTATATCAAATGCATTGATTATTATTATATGGTTTCTGATCATAATCTGGGAATTGTTTGAATGCAGTTGCTAATCTTCTTGCAGTGCTAACAAAAAATTGGATTCTCTGACTACTTTGGTCAGTTTATACAGTGAATATTTATTTTAAAAAATAGAATAGGGAATTAGCAATAAAGGTAACTCTAGGCAAACTCTGATTTTTTTGGGGGTTTCCCTTTACTGTACATCAGTAATTTTGCTGTAGTTTGAGACAAACTAGCACAATGACATCTTATCAATAAGATCATGGTCACTGCTGGGAATGACTAGGCATTTACATTAAACACTATGCCATAAGCACTGAAATCTGAGGCCAGAACATATTTTGACAGATATCTCTTTGATCAGAATGTAGTTACAATCCTAAAACAGGGTTTCAGGGTATCTGTAACCTTATCAGGGTATATGCTTTCTTCCCCATTCCTCTTACAACCTCCACAATTCCCAATTAAGGTTTCTTGTTAGCTGACCAAGGTGGCATGTACTTAACCCAATATCTGAATTCAGGTCCAGTGATAACTTATTTTCTTCGGATTGCCTTCAGCCTGGGTAGTCATTGTATTAATGTAGCATGTCATACATAACATATTATGGCTCACTGATTTAACAATTATATCTTTGAAAACAATGAGTTGGATTATAATTGTGTATCTGAATTTAGGGACTAATACTTGGAGAATGGAAAACCTCATGAGGGCTGTTACTGTACATATTTCTGGTAGAGTACATTGCGAATATTCCTTGTGCTTTTGATTTCAGAATAAGGACAATGATACCTTGAAAGATCTTTTAAAAGCTAATGTAGAGAAGCCAATTAAAATGGTGGTCTACAGTAGCAAGACGTTGAAGCTGAGAGAAACTACCGTCACTCCCAGCAACATGTGGGGAGGCCAAGGTCTGCTTGGAGTTAGCATTCGCTTTTGTAGTTTTGAAGGAGCAAATGAAAATGTGTGGCATGTGTTGGTAAGTAAATTACATTTGTGTTTGTTGTGTGTTCTTATCAAAATGATTAACTTTCCAAAGTTGATCATTGTGCTGTTTTTGGTCCTAAATCATTTAAAGTAAACAATGCCCAAACTTTTAACAATCTCTTCAGGCAAACTTCTTAGAAAATATACTAAACATTCCTACCAGAATCAAATAGACAAATAATTAATATTCTCGGAACTTAATTAGTTGGGTAAGTAAACAGTGTTCATTCTTATGAATGTATTAAATTAGTTAAATGCGTGAAATCTTTGTGTAAAATAGTCGTTTTGTTTTGATGGACTATGCTTAAATACATTCTGCAAAAATTCTAGAAGTGTTTTAATGGTTCGGAAAAAAAATTCTAGGCATTGTTACTTTTCAACAAAGTATAACATGGTGTTGTAACCTTATTTCTTTTGATCCAGGAAGTAGAGTCAAATTCCCCTGCTGCGTTGGCTGGCCTGAGACCACATACAGATTATATAATAGGAGCAGACACAGTCATGAATGAGGTGAGTCAGAGAATTCATAGAGACGTTTTTTGTTCACTATTAAAAATGCAAGATTTTAAGTTGCAAAAGCAGTAAGTGCTTAGAGCTTTGCAATTCATGTTATTGTTATTTCTTTCCCACTTCAACTCTTCGATTCAGTCCGAAGATCTCTTCTCTCTAATAGAGACACACGAAGGGAAACCCTTGAAGCTGTACGTGTACAATACAGACACGGACAACTGTCGGGAAGTAGTAATCACACCTAACACAACATGGGGTGGGGAGGGCAGGTAAGGTGCAAAGCTTGTTTTGATATCTGTTTTCAGTTTTTAACTTTTTTAAAGTGCTGGATTAATATACACACATTTGTTTAAGCCTAGGGTGTGGGATAGGCTATGGTTACTTACATCGAATTCCAACGCGCCCGTTTGCAGAAGGGAAAAAAATCAGTCTTCCAGGGCAGCAATCAAGTGCACCCATCAGTCCACTGAAAGATGGCTTCACAGAGGTAATGTTTGATTTGTTTTATCTTCAAATCATTTGAATGAACGTTGGTACTTTTGTGCAGAATTATTCTTGAAGCTCTACTTTTTTTTAAGAAGTTTATAAGGTAGTTGTAAGGAATTTTAATTCAGTTGCAAAGTTGGAAGTGGGGGCTATAAACATGCATATAGAATTGTTCGTTGGCACTTTTAAAGGATTGAAATATTACTAGCTTCATTTTATCCTGTCTTATTTTTTTTAATAAGCTTTTCAAGATTTTTTAAAAATATATATACTTTTTAGATTGCGCTAACAAATATAGTTTTCGCTGTATGTTTGTGTATTCCCTAAAACGGGTTTCTTTAACAATGTGCTTAAATTTCTACTATGTGTTTAATGGGATCTTGACCTTGAGCTGGTTATAATATATATATATTGTTGCAGGTCCAGCTTTCTGCTTTTAATTCCGCATCTTCTGTTGCTGCTGCAACTACCAGTGTTGAACAGGGAATATCAGGACTGTCACTTAACACAGCACCTCCTTCCGTCAGCAATGTTCTTAATGCAGGTATGTAACCAGTGTTTAATGAGAAATCCTATTGATTGATTTGTGTTTTGGAAGGGTATCTGAGAAATGAACTTCAGTTCTTGGATGAAAGAGTATAAGACATTTAGTGAATTTTTGATTTAAAACAAATGTCTACAATTCTTATTTGAAATGTTCTCCAGGTAATTGTGGAGTCCTGTAGCTCAGTGGTTAGAGCACTCGCTTTGCAAGCGAGAGACCTGAATTCAATTCCAGGCAGAGGGCGAAACTTTGGGCAAGTTTCCTTACTCCACACAGAGCCTAATAATAATCCCTCCAAAACCAAAAACAATAATAAATTGGTCATTTTCAATCTACGACTGTTTGTGGGACATTGCTGTGCGCAATTGGCTGCCGCGTTCGCCCACAAATATACAGTCAATTCACTTTACAGTATATTCTATGAAGCGCTGTGGTACGTCTAGAAGACGTGAAAAGCAAATGCAAGGATTATTATTATTATTATTATTATTATTCCAACAGTTCCCTTATTGCCTTCGTCTGTGAATCAGTCCCAGGGTCCAGTGCCATCAATTGCAAATGTTACGACTACACCTGGTAGGTCCGAGCAAAATCTTGCTGAATGAGCTTGTGGTTTCTGCTTTATATCTCATAAACATTTTAGAGCACAGCATTGATTGACCATGCACTCAAACAGGCCAAGTATTATGTATTTGGTGAAGATTTGGTGTTTCCTCATGAAGGAAATCAGGGATTCACTGGACTGTTCATCAACACAATATGTAACGTACCTCTGTAGTCTAAATCACCTTACATTTTAATTAAATCTTTGCACGTGATTTTCCAGAGTATTTTTCTGATTACAGACAACATGAAAGTCGATCGAAAATTCTGAATTTAATGTATCGGAAAGCCTTTTTCCATAATTGCTTCCATGAATCTCATTAGCTTCAGTATGACTTCCTCTGTACGCTTACTCTCATTTCTAAATGAAGAGGTGGCAGAGTCCTCGATGTGTATGTTCAGCATTGTGTACTTCTTTGCAGTTACCATATAGAATCTATTGAGCTAATGTGTATATTCTATCTGCTTTTGAAATACTTCCAGGTTTAATGCAGTTATCAGGTGGACTACCTAACTTCAATGTTAATCTGACCAATCTTACTCCAGTGACTTTACCGGGAATAGGAGGTCTACCTCCGCCAATTGGAGCTGGTATGTTTGTAGAATATTACAGCACATCATATCTGAACAATCTACAAGATATCAGCTGCTCTATTAAATAAGTAGTTCTACCTTCTGTTTAGAATATGTGGGAATCCTCTTCCACCAGTAACCTTCATCCACAAAATATACAGAAATGTAAACTCTTTTCTTCAGACTCTTTTGCTTATTATTGTGCAACCCAAATTATTGCTCGCCTTCAGGACAGGAGGCTGGCTTTTTTTCCAGCTCCTTAAAATTTTAAGTTCATTAAAATCTAATTGATTTTTTTTCTTCTAGATTTGTCATCAATTACTCAGCTCCCCCAGCTAAATATTCCTGGAATGCCACCTCTACCGATGTCCACCATGTTCACCTCACAGTCAGCCTCCATTGGTCCAACCTTCTCAATCCCTCCTCCAATGCTCAGTGGCTATAACGCTTCTGTCTCTGCACCTTCGGCCCTCATTCTGGATCCCGCAACCGTCTCCATGACAACCTCTGCTGACATCAAGGCAACTGGATCACTTAATGCAAGCAGTGATCAGCCGTCTTCCATTTCTACAGACGCACAAGCTTCTTCTGAGTCCTCTTAACTGCAGGCCTCTCCAAAACCAAGCGGGATTTGATTGATGTATTTATTCAGCTGCAAACAGCTTGTCCTGAAATGTAAAACCCTATAAAGGATAGACCGGCCGGCATGATCACATCTCCAGGAACTTTAAAGCTTTGTACATAGAGTAATTCTAGCAATGTGACAAATGCATAACCTTTAATATAATTGGACGGTTTACTACATTGGGACACAGTGGGGTTACTTTTGATGTAAATGAGATTAAATTATTTTATCAAGTACAGAGTTTCTCCCCCAGAGCTGTGGATTGTTTTTAGTTCAGCATCTATGCTGTCGATTACTTATCTAGGCAGTAGCTTGTCTAACCTTTCTTCATATAGCCTGTGTAATTTGCGTGTCACCAGGTCAGTGCTATATCCTTTAAAATCCCCACTGTTTTTATGACTATTGAAGGGAAAATAATGTAAGAGGCGAGAAATTTATGTACAATTCCAAATCCAGTAGGTGCCACTGTGAACTTATTGGGGAGTATATTCGATGGTTGAGCAATAAATTCTACTGGAAAGCCACTGTCTTCAATTGATTTAATTTAAACTTCTATTTATTATATTTTTCAGAATAACACAAGTTGTATTAAAGGAACCTTGCCACTTTTAGGTGCCAAACGTGCTAGCTTAACCTGGGAGTCTTGTGAATTTGTCAACATGTCAACATTTCAAGTCAATAGTTGGAATGATTTAAATTTTTAAACTAAATTATTAAGTTTTAAAGTTCATTTTAAATTAGATCATGTGATCTGCATTAAATATAAAAAAGTAATGTAAATATACATGACATAGCAGATTGAACAACTATCTTGGAAACAATAACTGGGGCAAAGAGCATAAAGATCTCATATATTTCTTAGCCATCTGCCTTCAGAAACATCCTGTAAGAGCAAAATGTATACCGCATTTTAAAAACTGAGCACACTACCTATGATTCAACACAATTCTTCAGATTGAGAGTTGAAATGTTAATTCACATTTGCACGGAAGAATTTGGGAGCTTTTACCTGTTCTTATTGCTTGTGAATTCAGCTGAAACAAGCCTCCTTGTTTTCTACTGGTTTCTTTCTAATCTGAAGATTGAGGGAGGTAGATGTGTGCAATGAAGATCTGCTGTCATTCATTCGGTCACAATCGTACGGAGAGGGGAAAAAAAAGTACTCGTTTCAATGTGGAATGTGACCTTTCATTAATCATGAACAAAATGTTATCTTAATGTGTGAGTTCTTATTCAGAATTTTAGGTTTTAGTCAGCAAAACAGTCATTCATTGCGTGAGTTAGTCTCCAGTTCTAAATAAAGGAGTCTTGTTTAACAGTTTTTTTGTGTTTTAATATGAATTTAAAATGCTAACTCGTAAGAGAGACCCTGAATTAATGCAGCTCCACAGGAAGGGATGAAACGAAGGAATCAAAGAGTGAAGCTGTTTTCCCTAAACTAGAAGATTTGCAACATTACATCTAATCTGACTCTAACCACAGGAAATTCTATGAGCCAGTTAGAATTAGTTTGACATTAAATACTGCAAAATGTTTTATCAGATATCAAAGTATGCACATTTCATTTATCTCACTGCCTCCCTGCCAAAAGAGATTTATGATTACATGTTCTAAACAAAGTATAATTCACATGAGGATTGTATTCCCCCAAGGTCATTAATACTGACATTTAAACTAGAAAATATTTCAAAAACACAGACATTTCAAAATAACAGGCACATAAGCTATTTGAGTGCAGAGCATTCTCTTGCATGTTGACATAAAATATAATTTTAAAAAGGTTTACATGGCATCGAGGGTTCCCCCCCCCCCTGTATAAGTCGTTAATTCATAGTCTGTGGCTAACTGATTTCTCTATCTTGGGCAGTCGGCTTTTTTTGGTCTTGCTTCACCACTCTACCAAGTATTTGGTTTGGAATAGTATTTTTATTTTGAAGCTTTTAAATTTGATAAAAGCATGCCAACTCGATGTGCAACCACGACTGAGAAATAAAACAACGTGGAACTTTTAGATGCTGCTTACTTTCCTTTGTAAATCTAAATCAGCACATGATTGTTTTACCACCTTCCCAAAGGCCTCAAAAGTGCTTGAAGTTTAGTGAAATAGCAGAATCTTCCCAAACAATAAATGACAAGTCGATGGAAAAAGAAAGGGTGCAACAACACTGCGACAACTTGCGTTTATATAGGGTTCTTCACGCGGGTGGTGGCACTGAGGGCTTATGTCTGGAATTGCTTAAAAAGTTCTGGAAGTCTGAGAATCACTGACAAAGCACTATAGGAAAGGACCTTCAAAAACATGACATCTGTAAAGTGGTTGCTGTCAAGCAGTTACAAGAATAATTTATTTCAGCTGAGACCTAACTCCCATCAATGTTAAAGCTGGTGAAACCACCTGCATACATTCTACAGATCAGATTATGAATTAAACCAATGCTTTGCGACGTCCTCTATGGTCAATTTGGGGGAGATTAAGTAGAATTGCCTAACGGCATTCTCTCAAAATGATGTGCTTGATCAAATGTTCTAGGTCACAGAACATGGGTAAAAAAATCAAAAGGTTACGGTCTCACAACTGTTTAATTGGAGAGTAAAGTTGCTGTTAATGCAGAAACAAATCCATGTCTGACTAAATGCACGTGATGCTGTATTCTGATGCGGTGAGAATTTTACTGATATGTTCACGAGATAAAATTGGGACATAATATCACAGAGCCGAGGCAGTATTCATAGCATTTCCTGGCCTACAGTTTTCCTGAACTTTGTCATTAGCTTCATATTTCTATGGTCAATTTGGGGGAAATTAAATAGAATTGTCTAACGGCATTCTCTCAGAATGATGTGCTTGATCAAATGTTCTGGGTCACAGAACATGGAGAAAAAAAATCAAAAGGTTACGGTCTCACAATTTTTTAATTGGAAAGTGCTGACAGTATCCAGCATGACTAAGCTGTGTTTGATGGAGCTCAGCGGGCACAAGATATCCCACTATCAGCGCTAGCTGTGTTTTAATAATTACTGCAGTTACTCATAGTTGAAAGAACCTCCTATTGTGTATTCTCGGCTAACATTTGCTTAAATATCTGGTTAGTAAATGGATTGAAAGTTATATGGAGAGGTACAGACAGATAATTAAATGCTCCGTGGAACACAATGTTTTTGTACTGCAAGAACAATGGAAGTGTGAAGCGTGGAAAGCAACTGGTAAGGCTTGAAGACTGATTATTGTATGGAAGTTCGGTCACCTGCCTTTGGTGGTTGCAGAGAAATTTTACAGAACTGTTAAGAGCATTAACTATGTAAGGTACAAATCATAACATGTTTAATGAAAAATGAATGGGCTTGAATGGACTCATGACCCCTTTTCCATGTTTTCTTCCATTTCTTTATATAATTATACAACTAACTGCCGTGTGCAATTGGCTGCCCCGTTTCGCCCACAAAATATACAGTTAATTCACTTTGGAGTATATTCTGTGAAGCACTTTGAGACGTCTCGAACACGTGATAAGGCGCTACATCAAACACAAGGATTATTATCTTTATTATTATTTTTAAGGGGACGTTACAGAACATGTATGATGTGAAACCTATTCTCGTACTGAGGTTCACTGCAGATATTTTCAGCTGCAAGTAAATCTTGATGCTCTGAATGGGATTTAATGCTACTGCGCTATTTCTAGATTAAATTAATAATTTTTTTACACATTAAGGTGCTTTACCAAACCAAAACGTCTTACTAAATAGAAGTGGGCGAACAGTTTTTGAAAGGTATTCAATCATGCGTTATTAAACATAATTTTTCAGTCAGATGTGAAGGTTCCTAAGGCGATGTAGCACTGCTTTAGGGCTTTAATGAACCTTACAACTCAACAGAAATCCAAGGGCAACCAATAAGGAAGATGGAAGAAAGCCTCAAACAGCTGATTCCTTTGCCAATTTCTCCGTCCCAAAATCAAAGGGATGCCAATCACTTGTCAGAGAACAATATGGAGAAAATAAGAACATAAGAACATAAGAATTAGGAGCAGGAGTAGGCCATTCGGCCACTCGAGCCCGTGACCCGCCATTCGATAAGATCATGGCTGATCTTCAGACCTAACTCTAATTACCTGCCCTATCCCCATATCCCCTAATCCCTCTGTTTTTAAAAAATCTATCAGTCTCAGCCTTGAAGATGTTCAAGGACTGAGCATCTACAGCAATCTACATTCCATAAATTCACTACCCTCTGAGTGAAGAAATGTTTCCTCAACTCTGTTCTAAAAGGCTGACCCTAAATTTTAAGACCCCGGTTATAGATTCTCTTCCCAGGGGAAACAGACCCTCAGTGTCTACTTTATCAGCCCTTTAAAATCTTATATGTTTCAATAAGATCTCCCCTAATTCTTCTGTACTCTAGAGAATGCAGCCCTAGTTTATTCATCCCAGGAACTAACCGAGTGAATCTACGCTGCACCCCCTCTAGGGCAAGTATGTCCTTTTTTTAAATAAGGAGACCAAAACTGCACACAATACTCCAGGTGCGGTCTCACCAAGGCCCTGTACAGTTGCAGCAAGACTTCCCTACTCTTGTACTCTAAACCTTTTGCAATGAACGCCTTCTTAGTTGCTGCTGCAACTGCAAACTAACTTTTTGAGACTGGTGTACAAGGACACCCAAATCCCTCTGAACACTGACACTATCTAATCTCTCCCCCTCTAGAAAATAAACTGTTTTTCTATTTTTGCCACCGAGGTGAATAACTTCATACTTCCCCACATTAAATTCCATCTGCCACCTCCTCGCCCACTCTCCTCGCCCATCTATATCCCGTTGCAATCTTTTTGCATCATCCTCAGAGCTTACTCTCCCACCTAGTTTAGTGTCATCCGCGAATCTAGAAACGTTACATTCAAATATTGGTAAATCTAAATCAATAGGTCGTGTTTTGTAATGACATTGAAGATTTGGTTTGAATCCAGCTCAGACTGATTGCATGGAAGTCTTCACACTTCGTTGGATTCACATCCTTGCCAAGGCACAAAACTGCCTATAAATGAACATTACTTGACAATTAAATTGTTCTTAACCCACATCATTTTATGAATCATATTACATTTTACAAATAAAATTGTAAATTAGATCCTTACCTTTGTTTGGAATCAGAGACCGAGAAAAATTATGCTTCACAACAGGATTAAATATATGAGCGACACTGAATATGTGAAACAACATTTTTCCCCATTACATGAGCTCCATCTATTGGTGGCTGCACAAAATAACGTTAAAAAGTCCCGCAGATTGAACTGAATTCACCTGAAATTAACCGAATTAAACCTTTATTTCATATGCAGGAAAAACTTTAAATAACCTACTTATCTCTTATTTTTATACATGGACTTAACATCTGTGTGAAAACCATCTTCAATCACTTTGAAGATAGTGTTACAATTTTTAAAACCCTAATCCTATTTCTTAATCTGTGAAAATAACTTTCTACAGTAAACTTCACATAAGTCTTATCAAATAGGACCATACATT